GCAGAGGATTGTCTGGACGTGGGCGCGCAAAAATGCAAAAACAAATCTAGGCTGAAACTAATCTTTCCTCATCCCAAATCCCCCAAACCCAATCAGAAACAGCTGCCTAGAAGGTTCTGTGCCGCCTGCTCAACGACCTTTCCTCCCCTGCTCTTTTCCAGGAGGTCAAGGCTGGCTGTGGGGAGGATGCAGCGACAACGTGGGCTTTGGAGAGGCGATATCCAAGCAGTTCGTCGATGCCCTGGAGACCGGACAGGACGCCCGGGCAGCCATGAACCTGCACAACAACGAGGCTGGCCGCAAGGTGAATCCTGCAGCCCCTGGGGTTAGGCAGCTGGCTCCATCCACTACCACCCCTTAAGTGAGGACAACTCTTAACAGTTTGGAAAAACGAGATACCCGATGTAGACTACTAGACCCCCTCTCCCGCCCTGCCCCCCAGGCAGAGACTCCCCACACGCTCAATCCCTGGCCCGCTTACTCCTCTCTCCTCAGGCGGTGAAGGGCACCATGAAACGCACGTGTAAATGCCACGGCGTGTCTGGCAGCTGCACCACGCAGACCTGCTGGCTGCAGCTGCCGGAATTCCGCGAGGTGGGCGCGCACCTGAAGGAGAAGTACCATGCAGCTCTCAAGGTGGACTTGCTGCAAGGCGCCGGCAACAGCGCCGCAGGACGCGGCGCCATCGCTGACACCTTTCGCTCCATCTCCACGCGGGAGCTGGTGCACTTGGAGGACTCCCCAGACTACTGCCTGGAGAACAAAACCCTGGGACTGCTGGGCACGGAAGGCCGCGAGTGCCTGCGGCGCGGGCGGGCCCTGGGCCGTTGGGAGCGTCGCAGCTGCCGCCGGCTCTGCGGGGATTGCGGGCTAGCAGTGGAGGAGCGCCGCGCCGAGACCGTGTCCAGCTGCAACTGCAAGTTCCACTGGTGCTGCGCTGTCCGCTGCGAGCAGTGCCGCCGGCGAGTCACCAAGTACTTCTGCAGCCGCGCGGAGCGGCCGCGGGGGGGCGCAGCGCACAAACCCGCGAGAAAACCCTAAGGGTCTCCTCTCCTGGCTCCTTCCCCCACTTGCCCCTGCCTCTTTTAGAGACCCCAGTAATAGAGGAACCTAGGGAATGCGGATCCCGCACTTGCAAGCCCAGGGGTCCCGAGAGAGACGATGCAGTCTCCGGAGCGTGTCCGTTTCCCACCTGTTTTCCCAATTCCGCTGCGCTCTTCTGGAGCTGTCTGAAGCGTCCTCACAGCTCACACTTAGTCTGAGAACTCTTTGAAACTGTGACTTTTGGACGAGTATGAGACAGGTGGTCCTCCTCCCTTCCTAGGTGCCCTAACTCTGGACTTAGCCTATGGAACCTTAGGAACAGGAAGACTCCTCAAATATACAGGACACGTCCAGGGAAAGCCATGGCTTTTCTCTTTTGCCCATTTTCTTGACCCCCCACCCCCACCCCGTTTTCTGCTGCTAGGTCTCTATCACAACCACATCTTCCTTCTGCAGAGCCATTCCTGTGCTTCTAATTCCCTGCTGACTGTTGACATAGACGCCCCAGGAATCGCTGTTTTCTCTCCCCTACTCCCTTACCCTCTTCTTCCGAAGAGAAAGTGAGAAAACTGACCCAGGAAAAAGCATGTCTTTGGGCACGGTTCCTAGAGGAAGGGTTGACGATGAGGAAAGCGGGAACCCTGGGTGCTGCCTTGCTGAAAACCAAGGGTGCTACTCATTCTCGTGACAGCGTCTCTAATGGACTTTACCAGTGGGACAGTGACCTTCCTGACAATCACCCAGGGTGTTCCAGACATATACCCACAATGTCTAGGAACTATGTAAGGTCAGATTACCAGTCATTTCCTACCCTCTGAAGTAACCTCCCTGCCCCTAACCTATTTCCTCCCAGCAACCATCTTTACCTCTTCGTCTTCCCCAAGGATCCTTGTTCATCTGAGCCAAGACTGAGCTCAACAAAGCCAGTTTCCCTGGTTTGCACCTCTAAGGCAGGTCATAAGAAGCTAAGACCCTTCCTTTTCAGTAACCTGGTTCTCAAACAGGTAGGATTCAGGGCCTTGGATGCTTTCCTTCAATAAGTAAACTTCCTGCAATGAAACTAGTACTAATAGGAAGTTCAGTACCTTAATTTTTTTTTTAATTTATTGCAATCACTGTGATATGTGCCCCCCCCCCATTTTTTCCAGGTATTGAACTTATTCTTGGGAATACAGGGAAGGCAGGTGGAAGATACAACCTCTAGGCCTGGCCCTCTCTTCCCTCCTACCTTGCCAGAATACCATCCTCCTGGGGCCTCACTTCCCTGATGAGCTAAGTAGTTGCTCTGGCCTGACTGAGGCTAATCTGCCAAGGCTTAGTAAACCAGCCACATAAATCTCCCATTAATACATTCACTCAGTAGTAAGAGCTTGCTGCTGTGGTGCTTGAGTCTCCTGGTTCTTGTCTCAGGAGAGAAGCAGTACAGCAGGGACTTCCTTATTAAAGAGGGCTCTGGGAAGGAAAGAGCCAACCCCTGACAGACACTGTGCAGCCTGAGGAGCCTCCCAGCCATCTCTCTTCCCCTAGGCCAGCCCTGGGTCTGCTCTTCAGCAGCAGAACTGGTCAGATGCTAGACAACCTCATCCTGCTTCTCCCAGAGCAGGAGAAAGCACGGAGGCAGTGTGACTCCAAGTAAGTACCAGGGGCCAAGACTTTTGGGGCCAAAATGTCAGAGGGCTAGGGCTCCCATGTTCCAAACTGATACAGTGGCCAGGGCAGACCCCAAAGCCCTGGCCTCATTCCTACACCTCTCCTGGTCCTACTAATACTTATGAGAAGACAGGTTCCCCTTCCTTCCTTATTGGGGACAATCTTCCCTTCAGGGTTTCCTAGTGCTTCATTTCAGCTCTATCAGCAAAAGGCTTTTGCTTCTTCCCCAGCTCTGACCTGGGCCTCATTAAGTCTCCCAACTTGCCCTCCTTCTCTCATCAAGCAGCAGCATATGCCAACCTGGCTGTCCCACTTGACGGCGTTATTTGATAATGTGCAGTAAGAAGACCTGGCAAGGCAGCTAGAAAATATAAAAAAGCACAATGTTGTAAAGGAAAGCTGCATTCTCCAGGGGAGTCTCTCGGCATAAAAGTAGGAGAACTTTTGTGCTTCATATTTGATAACTCCAGGTCACTTATCGCAGGTCAAAACATGTCATACTGCCAGCAAGTTCCTTCATGAGTTGTTTTGTATTCCCAAATGGATATGATTGATACCAGATTCATTTGAGTGCTATAAAGGGAACATTACTGAATTACCTTATATTTGTATTGCTCTCCACCCCACTTCTTGCTTTAACTATTCATTCATTCGTGCACTCAACAAACACTGGAGTGGAAGTAGAGTGATGAGCCACACCGCCCTCCCTGCATTCATGGAGTCTAGGTTCTCTGTTAGACTCAGTCACCAGGGCTGTGACCCCTTTACAAACATGGACAACTCCAGAACGGCTGCTTGGGAAGACACCTTGAAGTCAGCTAATCAAACCTCTTGTTTTATAGATTTAAACTGATGCTGCGAATGATGTCTGGCTTGTTCCACCAGCAAGTTACCATGGGGTGCTTAGTGAAACCCAGGCCCCTTTCCTCCTCTTGTGAACCCTTTAGGAGGATAGAAGCAAAGGGAGGTCCTGAGAAGTGACAAGGACACTGGGGGTGGGGAGGTGCAAAACACTGTCTCCTTCCTGTCCCTGGCCTGTACGCCTACACACAGGCAGGGCTTTCTTTCCTTGAAAAGAATCCCAGCCTCAACTGGCCTTAGCAGCAGGTTAGGGCAAAGACAGAGACAGGGTCGCGCTCAGCGCTGGTGGTGCTGGTGGTGGTAGGAGGGGAGGGCAGGACAGGGCACTCGCCTATTGTGGATCTGGATTGGATGCTTCCACTCATTCATTTCCTTTTAATTAACCCGCATTCCTGGAGGAGAAATATTTATGTTGGCTCCCATAGAGGCAATCCGCAGACTGGAAAGAAAGGGGAAGAAAGCCTGCCTTAGCAAAACAATATCTCTAAAGAGCTCAAGAAGAGAAAATAAGAGAACAAAATGCCATTAAAATAGCCTTCTTACCCCCACTGGAGTCAATGAAAACTTCATTTCACATGCTAATCCCCCACTCCGCCCCCTTCTCTTCTCACAACACCTTTTCCGAAAGTGTTTGGGAAAAGTCTTCGCAGTCAGTACACAGCTCCCTGCAGCTCAGACTTCTCCTTGTGTTAGTTCAGGGCCCCAAGTGGGGCTCTTGCTCCAACAGCGGCTTTTTTCTCCCCCCCTTTAATTTAAACAAAGACTTCAGAGTTCATCAACCTCCCACTGAAATTCACAGCTGCTGAACAAACTAATCCCCTCTCCCAGCCTTTCTTCCCTTCAATGGGCTCTTGGCTTCAAAGACACTTTGGGAAAGAACTTTGCTGGGGCTCACACTGCTTCATCAATAGAAGTTAGTGCAAGTATTATCTGAAGAGCAAGTGGCTTTACAAACAAATACTGCCTAACAATCCCTTCCTCCCAAACACACATCTAGCCTGCAGACATGACAGGATCGACATAGGATTAGAGATAGGACCCAGTGGCTTCACACCCAGCCCCTTTGTGCAGCTGAGCTCAGCCCTGAAGTGGTGTGGGGAAAACCCTGGAGCCGACTGTCAGGCACAGATGGAGATACACCCATGTGCACGGGCGCGTGCGCACACACACACACACACACACACACAAAATGGCCACAAATGCTGCAAGGAGAGAGTATTTCGGTGACACCCTCCTTTCTTCAACTCTCTTGACTCCCCCATTTGTCCCCAAGCCTCTCCTCTTCCTTATTGGGGTACAGGAAACAAGAACCAAGAGGGCTAGAAAGAGAGGTAAGGGCAAAATAGGGCCCAGGAGGCAATTAATGAGAGACGACTGAGGAAACCAAATCAAAGCCGCTTTATTGCACACCAGTGCTTCAAATGCAGCATCCAACCGTGGAAGTACAGCCAGAGAAGGCAGCCCTGAGACATGTGGAGGCTGAGGGGGGAAGGGCCTCCCAACCTTGAGGAGTAGTGCTAAGAGTCTTTTGTTAACATGGCTCCTATTCCAGAGTTGGGCTCATACGCACAGAATGGATGGTCCATGACCTTGGACCAGGGCTCAGACAGGTCAAGTCAGGGGCTGTTTCCCATTGGCAGCGGTCCCTCTGTTCCTATCTCAAGGCTAAGACAGCTCCCAGCAAAAGGCAGTGTACCCCCTTCCACCTAACCTCACCCACCCTTCATAGTGCTGGCAGATGAGATGTTCCTTTTGAAAAGGGCCATAGTTCCTTCTCTTGGTTCTGCTCAGCACCCATCCCTCATGTCCATGACTTGTTCAAAGAATGAACAGTCAACTCTACTCCAGCCTCTGTGGCTCAGAGAAATATAGACCTGGAAATATGAAGTCAGAGGCAAGGAGAAGGTAAGGTCAGGCTCATAACCCACAGAAGGTGAAAAACAAAAGACCCAAAAGACAGGTACAGCAGAGGTAGACTTGGATCCTGCTCACCCTCTTAGAAGCCACTCAGAGTATCTCTGGTGGAGAAGAGAGCCTGCCCAGGTCCTTCCTCAGGTCCTGGCCCAGAGTACAGTACTAGGGGAAGTACAGAACTGCCTCTGTGCTCAGCCTCGGGGGCTGAGCAAGACTTGGACAGATCCTAGAAGGCCAGGCATACAGGGGAAGAAAGCAGGCACTCTGCCAGTTTGGAGCCAAGCCTACAGCATCATATACCTGGTAGCAAGAAGGAAGGCTGAAAAAAACAAACAACCTGTTCTGAAATTCCCTTTTCTGCAGGGAGAACAGTTAAGTAACAGCAGAAGTGGCCTCCTGGTGAGAGAGGCTGCCTGGCTTACACGTGCAGCTTATGAGCAATGGTGAGGACAGCCTTCAGGGCAGGCATGAAGCTGGAGACCTCGCTGAAGCGGCTGCAGCCCACCACCTGGGCGTGCACTGCAAGGCCCTGCTCAAAGCTTCCTGCGTCCACACATCGGGCAACCTCGTGGAGCCCAGCCAGGACATGAGGAGAAAGCTGTGGAGGGATTGCCCTTAGGTTAGTAAGCCCAAACCACCCCTACCCTGGCTGCATGGAAGGGATAAGAGAGGACTTAAGTTCTGGAGCCCAGTCCAGGCAAGGTGCATGTATTCTGTGGGGAACCCAGGTTGGTGAGACCTAAGAGGAGGGGACACTTGAGTAACGAAGGGGACACATGGGTGATGGTGGAAGGGCAGGAGGCAGGGGAGCATCACTAAGTGTACTTACTGTCCCCTCACAGAGCTTCTCATACAGACATTCTAGACGTTGGGCTGCCTCCTCCAGCTTCCGTTTTGTCTTCTATAGGAAGGAAAATGTATTCTGATTCTAGCCCCTAAGCCTAATACTACACAGGACTATAAAGAAGCAGAGTAACCCTGGCCAGTTTGGCTCAGTGATTACAGCATCGGCCTGCAGACCAAAGGGTTGTAGATTGATTCCCAGTCAAGGTCAAGTACTTGGGTTGCAGGTTCAATCCTGGGCCCTGGTTGAAGTCATGTGGGAGGCAACCAATCGATGTGTCTCTTTCACATCAATGTTTCTCTCTCTCTGTCCCTCCCTCCCTTCCACTCTGGAAAAATACCCTTGGGTGAGTATTAACAAAATAAATAAATAAAATAATAAATTAAAAGAAAACAAAAGAATCAGAGTAGATTAGAGCCAGAATGACTTGAGGCTACTTCTTTCATTTCGGAGGAGGAAATGGAGGCCTGAAGAGGGTAAGTGACTTGCTTGAGCTGACAGCCAGTGAATGAATGAATGGTTACTTCTGGTTTCACCCTCCTTTGAGTATTCCCTGCTGCCTTTCCCAGAGTTAAGTCTCAACGCTGCTGGGTCCTGCTAACAAGGAGCTGGAATTCAGACTAGACAAGTACTCCCCGCTCCAACCCCCCGAATGGACATCAAATAAGTATAAGATACAGACAGCATGTCAAGGGATAGTGAGAAAAAAGTCACACAAAGACCTGACCTAGAGCTAAAGGGTCCTGGAAATGGCTAAGGGTATGAGGAGGGCATTGTGGGGAAGGTTCGCACTTACGAAGTCAGTGGCAGACAGGGAGCAGCGTTGTAGAAGCGCCTCAAAGCTGGTTTTCAAGGACTGATGCTCTGGGGGCAGCTCCTTCCTGTCCATCTTCTCTGGTGGCCACTGCTGAAGAGGTGGGGTGACAAAATAGATAGGCAAGCTGTCCTCGTAGATTCCCTAAGACTAGTCCTCAGTGACACAGCATAACACTGTTCTCACTAGAGCGTAGCAGAGTCGGGGAGGGGGCACTCTCTACATTAAGGACATTTGAATTCCCCATTCCCCAATTCATAGCTGACTCCACCTTTAGGAATAAAGTCCTTCTACCAAGCCCCCTGCTTCTCTCCCCTCCCCTCCCCCTCCCCTCCCCTCCCCTCCCCTCCCCTCCCCTCCCTTCCCTTCTCCTTCACTCCCCTTCCTGATTTTTTGTTGATTTTTATAGAGAGAGGGAGGGAGAGGGAGAGAGAGAGAAACATCAATGTGATAGCAAAACATCGATCAGCTGCCTCCTGCACGTGCCCTACAGATCTAGCCCACAATCCAGGCACGTGCCCTGACTGGGAATCGAACTAGCAACCTTCTGGTGCACAGGACAACACCAAACCAACTGAGCCACATTGGCCAGGGTGCCCCCTGCTTTTCTATACCCAAGGAAGGCTGGAAGAGGGAAGGAGAACACATTTTCACCTGCAGGCCGAGCTCTCCGGGCGCTCCAGGGGGAGCATGATCCACACCAGGGACGGGAGGCCGTGAGGAGAGGATCTGTCGTGGCTCAGAGGTGAGGCTCATAACTGGAGCAGTAATTGGTGCTGGGGACATAAATGTCTCTGGCAACTAGAGAGAGAGAAAGAGAGGCACATGAGTCTAAGCTGAGAGACTCCCCAGGCCTGGTTTGAGAGAGTGGCAGGAGTTATGAGTGAACAGGGGACAGAATAGCGAGTGGGAAACCCAGAAAAGGCAAAAGTAGGTTTATAGTTGCTTGTATGGAAAATAATACACTAATTAATAAATAATAATATAAGAATAAACTCTGTGTTTCATTACTCACAACCATAAGCCTTTTGCTCCACCCTGTACATGTAAGAAGGAAAGAGGAGGGAGCTGAGGGGAGAAGAGTGAGGGAAGAGAGGGAAGAATGCGTGCCTGAGAATGGGAAGGACTGGGCTGAATTCTGTAAGGAACTAAAATGTGGGTCATTGGTAAACGTATGAGGAAACGGGTGAGGAGGTGGACTGACCTGACTCCTCTGGAGGTTTGCTCTGGGAGCTGGAGCATTTTTCAAGGAAGCTTGAGGTCCTATATAATACAAAGTTATAAGTATTTAGAGACATGGTCAGGAACACTGGAAATTCTTAGTCTGAAGGCCATCAAAATTATTTTAGTTGGACTCTACCACACCTCCCTCTGACCAGTCATACTCTCCAAGCCAAGGGGCCCCAGTTCATTGGTTTGAGATTCCCAAGGCGGTAGTGGAGAGGGAAGGAGAGGGAGGCAATGACTAAGAGAAGGAAGGCCATGGAAAGAAGACTGACCTGGATGTGGAGTCAAGATGCCAGTGGTTTGGATGATGCTAGAGCATGGAGCACCTGGTCCTCCAGGAGGGTGTGCTGCAGGGAAGCTGACAGGAGGGGCGGGGGGCTGGGAGCTCATAGGGATGAGACTTGGTGGTCTCACAGGAAGGAAAGGGAGCAGTCGAGCGGTCTCGGGCAGGGAGGCATAGTCAGGCTGCATAATGTCTGAGGGTGCCATGGGTGGAGGGGGACCAGGAAGAGGCCATGTTCCAAGGTATCCCATGGGGTTAGGAGCTTGCACCCTTTGCCCTCTTAACAGCTGTGGCTGAGATAAAGCTGAAGTAGAACAGAAACAGGTCTTTTGCCACCAAATTTCAATTTTGGAGAGACTCAGAGAACATGATGGGAGAATAGATAGCAATAATAATTTTTTAAAAACATAATAATAATAATAATAATAATAATAATAAATGATTAATTAATACATGTGTATGGATATATACCACATACAAAGTACTTTTAACTGTATTACTTATTTGATCCTCAAAACAATCCTGTGGGTTTAAAATGACCCACAATATAACAACTACTCTTACTTTAAAAAAAAAAAAATAGTATATTGCTAAGTATATTGCTCACAGGTACAAAGTCAGTAAGTGATAGTACTGGGAATTCTGACTTCAAATTCCAAGCTCCTCTCACTACGTAGACACACTGACTCTCAAATCCATGCTGGCCATGCCAAATGTTTTCCTCTATATTCTACCCAGACAGATCACTCACTCACTCACCAGGCCTTACTGCAGGGCTCAGGGGCAAAGGCTGAGCTCCCTGGGACTCAGGTGCCCTGCAGTCTCTTATATTCTGCATTCTGGAGCCTTGATTAGGGCCAAGATGAGAAGGTACCAAGGGTGTCACTAGTGATGACTGAAGTGTGAAAATCCTTGGCCTTGTAGATGGAGTGGGAACCTGTGAAGAGCAAAAAGGATTAGCACTTAGAAAGGGGAAAAAGGTAAGTAATTGAAAATAGAAAAACGATAGAAAAAAATTAAAAGCTAGTTCTTCAAAAGAAATGAACAAAATTGGTAAATCTCTATAAAAACGAACAAAGATAGAGAAGACACAAGTTATCAAGATCAGGAATAACTGATCTTGATGACTTCAAATTATACTACAAAGTGACAACAATCAAAACAGCATGGTGTTGCCCTGGCCAGTTTGGCTCAGCGGTTAGCATTGGCTCGTGGACCAATGAATTGTGGGTTTGATTCTGGTTAAGGGCACGTACCTCAGCTGCGGTTGATCCCTGGCCCTGGTCAGAATTGTGTGGGAGGCAACCAGTCCATGTGTCTCTCTCACACTGATGTTTCTCTCTCTCTCCCTTCTCTCCTTCTCTCTCCCTCCCTCCCACTCTATCTGAAGATAAATAGAAAAATATCCTTGGGTAAGGGTTAAAAAAACAAAACAGTATGGTACGGGCCACAAAACACACACACAGACCAATGAAACAGGATTGGGAGCCAAGAAATAAACCCACATGTATATGGGCAAATAATTTTTGATAAAGGAACCAAAAACATATAGTGGGGAGAAAAAAAAAAGCCTCTTCAATAAACAGTGCTGGGAGAATTGGAAAGCCACATGCAAAAGAATGAAACTAGACTGATATTTGTAACTGTACACAAAAATTAACTCAAAATGCATCAAATATCTAAATATAAGACCTGAAGCAATAAATTATATAGAAGAAAACATAGACCTTATGGACTTTCATCTTTTTTTTCATTCCTCAACCAAGGATATTTTTCTATTTATCTTCAGATAGAGTGGGAGGGAAAGAGAGGGAGAGAAAGGAAGAGATAGAGAAACATCGATGTGAGAGGGACACAGATTGGTTGCCTCCTGTACAATCCCAACCAGGGCTGGGGACGAACTGCAACCAAAGTACATGCCCTTGGCTAGAATCGAACCCGAGTCATTGGTCCATGGGATGATGCTCTACCACTGAGCCAAACCAGCCAGGGCTGGACTTTCATCTTGGACAGGAGGGATTTTATGAATTTGACGTCAAAAGCAACAGAAGTAACAGCAAAAATAAATGAATGAGACTATCTCAAACTAAAAAGCTTCTGCACAGCAAAAGAAACTATCAACAAACAAAAAGGCAATCAACCGAATGGGAGAAGATACCGTAAATGACACCTCCAATAAAGTGTTAATAAACAAAATATATAAGGAACTTATACAACTCAAACAACAACAAAACCAAACAATCCAACCTTAAAATGAGCAGAGGGCCTGAACAGACACTTCTCCCACGAAGACATACAAATGGCCAAGACACATATGAAAAGCTGTTCAACTTCACTAGCTATTAGGGAAATGCAAGTCAAAACTACAGTGAGATACCACCTCACACCTATTAGAATGGCTATTATCAAAAAGACAAGTAATAACAAGTGTTGTAGAGAAAAAGGAACCCTCATTCACTGCTGGTGAGAACATAAACTGGTATAGCCACTATGGAAAACAGTATGGAGGTTCCTCAAAAAATTAAAAATAGAGTTACCATATGACCCAGCAACCCCTCTTCTTGATAGCTACCCCAAAAATGTAAAAATGTTTATTCATAAAGATATATGTACCCCTATGTTCACTGCAGCGTTATTCATAGTGGCCAGGACATGGAAACAACCAAAGTATCCTTTGATAGATGATTGGATAAAGAAGATATACATACATACAACAGAATACTACTGAGCCATAAGAAAAAATGAAATACAACCATTTACAAAAACATGGCTGGATCTTGAGAATATCATGCTAAAAGAAATAAGTCAGATGAAAAAGTCAAGAACCATACAATTTCACGCATATGTGGGATATAAAACTGAAAGCAACAAATGAACAAACAAGACAAATAAACAAACAAAAACTCATAGACACAACAGTATGGTGGTTACCAGAGGGAAAGAGGAGTGTGGAGGAGGCTGTAAAAGGTAAAGGGGGTCAAATATATAGTGACAAAAGGAGATTTGATTTTGGGTGGTGAACATACAATGCAATATGCAGATGATGTATTATAGAATTGTACACTTGAAATCTATTTAATTTTATTAACCAACATCACCCCCAAAAATTTTATTAAAAGAAATTTTTTAAAAATCAGGGAAGAAACAGGGAATATGACAATAGACCCTGCAGCCATTAAAAGGATAATAAAGGAATACTACAAAAATACTTTACATTAATAAATTTGACAATTTAGAAAAATGGGCCAATTCCTCAAGAACTAAAAACTACTATAACTCAGTCAAAATTAAATAGATAACAAATAGTTCTATAACTATTAAAGGAATTAGAACTGTAATTAAAAAGGTCCTCCCCAAATAAATCCCTAGAGGCCTCATTTCATTGGAGAATTTTACCAAACATCAAAGAATTAACACAAATTTTACACAATCTCTTCAAATTTCCTAACTCATTTTATGAGGTCAGTTCTACCATGATACGAACACCAGACAAAACAGCATAAAATAAAACTACAGACCAGTATTTCTTATAAATTTAGACACAAAAACCCTCAGTAAAATTTAGCAAATCAAATCCAACAATGTATATTAAAAAATAATATACAACAACCAAGTGGAATTTGTTCCTGGTCATGCAAGGCTAGTTCAATATATTTAAAAATCAATCAATGTAATCCACCATAACAACAAGCTAAAGAAGAAAAATTATTTGATTACATAAAATGATGCAGAAAAACATTTAACAAAATTTAACACTGATTTATGACTTAGTACACCAGAAATAGATGGAAATTTCCTCAGCCTCAATAAGAGTGAATACATGTAAAAATCACAATGGATATGGAAGACTAGCAGAGAAAATGATGCAAAATATCTTATAAATATATTTTGTGACCACTTGTTGAAAAGATAACATTTTTATATATTTGGTTAAAAATATTCAAAAGTGAGAAAAGAGTGTATACAAAAAACCTATGGTTAGCATCATAATTAATGGTGGAATATTGAATATTTTCCTTTTAAGATTGGACACAAGGCAAAGATGTTCACTATGACCATTCTCATTTTAGTACTACAATAAGGCAAGAGAAAGAAATTAAAAGCATACTACTTGGTAAGAATAAAAAAGAAATAAAACTCTATTTGCAGACAACATGACTGCCTACATAGAAAATCCCAAGGAATCCATAAAAAAATACTAGAATAAGTGAGTTCTGGAAATTCATTACTGAACATTGAAAAATCACAGGATACAAGATTAACACACAAAAAATCAACTGCATTTGTATATATACTGACAGTGAATAGTGGAAACCAACATTAAAAACACAATGCCAATGGATTTTAAATTGCTAAAGAAAAAATTAAGTACTTAGGTTTGAAATGAACAAAACATGTTAGGATCTATATGATGAAAATGATAAAATGCTGATGGAGACAATAATGGAGAGACATACCATGTTCAAGGATAGAAAGGCTCAGCATGGTAAATATGTCAATTATCCTTACATTTTTCTCTCTCTATATATATATATTTAAATATTTTATTCTTTATTGATTTTAGAGAGAGAGAGGAAGGGGAAGAGAGAGAGCAATAGAAACATCAATGAGAGAGAACATTGATTAGCCACCTCCTGCAGGCCCACAACCTGGGCATGTGCCCTGACCAGGAATTGAACCGGCGACCTCTTGGTGCATGGGTCAATGCTCAACCACTGAGCCACACTGGCTGGGCCATTTTTCTATAGTTTTAATACAATTCCTATCAAATTTTTAGTAAGTTTCTTTGTACACATAGACAAGCTTATTCTAAAATTTGTGTGGAAAGGGCAAGGTCCTAGAATACCCCAAAAAATTTTGAAAAAGAACAAAGTGGAGGAATTCCTCTTCCTCATGTCAAGGCATACTATACAGAGGTAGTAATCAAGACAGAGTGGTATTGGCAGAGGGATAAACTTATAGATCAATGGAATAGAATAGAGAACTGAGAAATAAATCTATATGAATATGTCCAATGAATTTTTTTTTAATCCTCACCTGAGGACATACTTGCATTTATCTTCAGATAGAGCGGGAGGGAGAGAGGGAAGAAGAGAGAAAGAGAAACGTCTATGTGATAGAGACACATCGACTGGTTGTCACCCACACAACCCCAACTGGGACCAGGGACAAACTGCAACTGAGCTACATGCCCTTAGCGGGAACTGAACCCAGGTCTCTCTGGTCAGGGGCCAATACTGTAACTGCTGAGCCAAACCAGCCAGGGCTGCCTAATGAATTTTTGACAAGGGAGCAAAATCAATTCAATGGAGGAGGGACAGCTTTTTCTTTTTTTTTTTTTTTATTATTTTTTTTTATCCTCACCTGAGGATATTTTTCCATATTTTGTACAGATAGAGTGGGAGGGAGAGAGAGGAAGGGAGAGAGAGAGAGAAACATCGACGTGAAGGGACACATCGAGTGGCTGCCACCCGCACGACCAACCAGGGCCGGGGACAAACTGCAACCGAGGTACGTGCCCTTAGCGGGAACCGAACCCGGGTCTCTCCGGACCGCAGGCCGATGCTCTAACCGCTGAGCCAAACCGGCCAGGGCGGGACAGCTTTTTCTATAAATGGAAATCCATTGGCAAGAAAATGAAGCTTAACCTAAACTTCGTACCTTGCATAAAAATTAATTCAAAGTAACATGGACTTAAATGTAAAACAAAGCTTCTAGAAAGAACACAGGATAAAATTTGGGGGACCTTGAACTAGGCCAAGAGCTCTTGAACTTGACACAAAATGCAAGATCCATAGAAGGAAAATAATAAATTGGATGCTATAAATTAAAATTTTTTGCTCTGTGAAGGGCCCTATTAAAAAGATGAAAAGACAAATTCTTACACAGTTACGCGCACACACACGAGTACATGTAAAACCGGTGAAATCTAAATCTGTGGATTGATTGTACTAATGTCAATTTATTGGTTTTGTTATTATATGTACTGTGGTTGTTGTGGGATGTTGGCATGGGGCGGGGTGGGGTTGGGATGCATGAGACTTCCCAGTACATTCCTTTGCGACTTCCTGTGACTCTACAATTATTTCAGAATAGAAAGACAGAGGAAAAAGAGAAGAATAAGGAACAGGAGGGAGGAGGAAGAAGGGGAAGGGCAGAAAGAAAATTAGGATTGGAGTTGAAGGTGGGACAAGATGCACAGGATGAATCAATCATCAGAGCTTCTGCCTGATACCTCATTTATAATCTCATTGGATTTTGTTTCCCAGCCCCTGCAGTAGGCTCCTGGTATCATAAATTAACAACACCCTATCCATCTGGCCAGAAACCTAAGGTCCTGTCGCCCTACTTCACACATTCCTTTAAATTATCACCAATTTCTGTTAATTCTACCTACGAAATATCTCAAATCCAACCTCATTCTCCAGCTTCAGGTTATTTAATGTACTCATCATATCTTTCTATATAGCCTCCTGCCTCTAGCCTTGCCCTTCCTAAACAGAGTTAGTCATTCCCCTGCATAAGACTATTCAATGGCTCCTGACTGCTATCAATTTCAGGGTCAAGTCTAAGCTCTTTAGCTCAGATTGCCAGGTCCTTCCTGATATAACTCCTGTTACCCCAGCTTCATCTAAGCCCACTCCACTGCCACAAAGACCTGTTTTGCAGCGCCATTAAAATATTAATAGTTCCTCAAATGGGCTTTGCTCACTCTCTTCATGCTCTTGTGCATGCTGTTCCCTCTGCCTGAAATAGCCTTCACCTACCCCTTCCTTTGCCTAAATAACTTTTAATCTTTAAGACTGAGATGAAATATTATACTCATTCTGAAAAAGTCCTAAACGTCCCACCTGCCATAGAGTAAATTGCTTTCTTCTGTATGATCCCGTGGCATCTTATCATACCCCTATCATTTAATTTTACTGTATTTTTTACATGTCTACCTTTCCACTAGACTATGAGCTAATTAAGGGCAAGGATCATGGTTTGGGCACCTTTCTAAGAGCCTAGCATTTATTCAATAAACACTTACTAGAAAAATAACTAAATCTATGCTTTGTGAAGTCAGGAATTCTTATCATTTCTGTTACTAATGTATCCCAAGTGCCCAGAACCATGCCTGGCACTTGGTAGACATCAATTAGTATTTTTTAATGAGTAAACAAATCAATGAACAAACAAGGTGTTACCTGGTGAGAAGGCTGGAATCCCAATTTGCAAGATGATGTCTCTTTAGAGTGGGGAGTAGTTCCCACAATGACTCGGGGGAAGGGGAAAGGGGGGCACTGCTGGCCCGAGACATCAGCACCCTGGGCATGAAAAAGCCGATCTCTCAGCTGCTGAATCGGTGGCTATAATAACGAAGAGGCGAGTTAAATGAAATTAAAATAAGCAAACATCCTCTCTTACAAGCCTGGCCCATACAGCATTCAAACTGCAGCTGACCCTCACTCTAGCCACTTTAGATGACTCACAGACCCCTACTCCCTGCAAAGCCTCCCTCCTTGTTGTTCTATGGGCCTAGATCACTCTGTATCTGCTTGCTGGTAAGTTACTTCTTTTTGAAGGTTCAGCTCAACAATTTTAACCACTCAGAAGCCTTCCTTCACTTCTGCAGGCAAAACCAGCACCTTCCCTGGAGTCCCACAGTGCTCAGTATAAGCTTCTGTTATGGCACTATGCACTAGTGACATCTTATTTCCCCCAAAAGATTGAGAGTTTCCTGAGGGACTGGTTTTTATTTGTCTGGGAGTTTCAGCACTCTGTAAAGTGCCTAGAACATGGAATTGCTCAGCCAGTGTTAGATGATCGAACTAAATGGTTTGCTCTTTCCACATGGCCCCACTCACTTGAGCACAGTCATTGGGTAGGTAGCTCATGGCAGTGGCCAGCTTGCCTTGGGCGGCCAGGAGGTTGGCATATTGAGTGATCCTGTAGGTTGTGGCAGGGCCTGGGCTCATACCATCAGGACCCCGCAGTAGCTCCAAGCTCCTGTTCAGAACCATTGCCTTCTCCATCAGGTCCTAGAGGAATAAGGATGAGGGTAGTCAGCCCTCTTCAAAGCATATCCTGGTCTCTAAGCCCAGGCAGCTCACCTGGGGACACCCGCACTGTGGGGAGGAGGGAATCTGGCAATAGGTGAAGGTGATGATATGTAACAGACACGACAGTGAAAGAAGGGCCACTTGGCCTCGCTTCTTGAGCTCTTAGCACTGGCCTCAAGTGGGGCTATCGGGATCTCAGATTCTCCTACATCTCTGCCTCTCTTATTTTTTGCTTTCTTTACCCTTTCTGCTAGGTCATCAGCAATTTCAGGCTCAGTTATACTACTGTTTTATGTGTGACTTTGTCTCCCCATAAGTCTGTGACCCCCATCTTCTCTGGTCACCTGCAGAGTGTCCGGTACTATTTAGATCCACAGAATTTTTCATAGCACCTAATAGAAGGCCCAGGCTCACAATTATCCAAATATAGAATAAACGTGTATAACCAAATTTGAAGTAGAAAAACATTATGAAGTTTAATATCTAAGTAGCTTCTGCTCAGAATCTGACTGAAAAGGAGGGGAGGGGTGATAGCTCATCCTTGAGAGAAGGTCCCAGACTTAAGGGCCCTTCTCTTTTCCCTGATATCCTGACTCCAGCCTGGGGGCCTAGAAGACTCGCTCTGATGTCCTTGCACATCCCTACCTCTAGCCTCTCCTAAGGGCCTGTAATAAAGGGCCAGTGCCCTGCAGGGGGGTACCTGTAGAGCCATGGGGGATGAGGCCGGGTGGCATTTCGCCCAGCACTCCACCAGCCGCTCCACACTCCCTGAGCACACATAGCAGAGCCTGGCTTCGGAGGCAAGCGCCCTGCCGTCCTCCTGCTCCATGCGAGTACCCAGCATGTCTGTAGAGAGACAGAAACTTCTTTAATGTCGCAGCATCCCTTTGCTCTTTCTCCTTTTCCTGTGTGGAAATGGGTGGAGGAAGCATGAGCTATTGGGAAAGTAGCCACAGTGGCTTTGGACAACAGAGGCTCGCCCTGCTCTACAATGAAGGGCAAAGCTCTTGCTTCAAGATGTGACAAGAAAAAGTAAAACAGGACAATGAATGAAAGTAGAGGCATGCACTGCCTTCTCTGGCTCCCCGCTGAACCGGACCTGGCTCTGATAACATGGCCTGGCCTCCCAGGGCTTGGGCTGCTCTTCTGCCTCCTCCATCCGCATGCTCACTGACTCCACACTGAAGTCACACCACTCCACCCTGAAACCTAAGGCCACCTACCACAAAGCTCAGGGAATTTCTCTGGCCCCGAGTATGTCAGGAGCAAGGCCAGGGCCTCTCTCCAGTTCTGCAGGCTACAGGAGCACACCATATCCTTCCAATCCTTCCGAACAACACAGGCTAGCAACTGTAATGGCAGAGAGGGAAGGAAGCTATCAGCCACCTATCTGGCACAGACAGCAGGAGCAGGCTTCCTGTTAGACTACTGACTAGGGGCTCGGGGTGAGGTCAGGGTGGGTAGAGTGGGAAGAGAGAGAATTCGGCAGATCCTCTAAACACCAGGCCCAGGGTGTGGACATCCACCTCACAAAATCCAACTAATGCCCTCCTCGCCTCTCCTGCATGGTGGGCAGTTACCGAGGAGATTCTGGTTTTCTTCTTGGCCAAGTAGCGTTCCTGTGTTTGCTTCAGCAGATCTGTGCCCCCAGCCTGGGCCAGGATAATGGCATCAGCAAAACGTTCTTCCTTCAGACACAGCTCAACAGCAGGGCCCAGTTCACCAAGCAGGAGAGCCTGGCTCAGGAGTCCATCCACGTCTGCGGGCAGAGGCACCCCCCCACGTTAACCTGCCCTCAGACCACAGCTTCCTGTCACCTGCAGAGCCCACAGCACACCTCCTGCATCTGCATCACTCAGCTTCTCTTGCTCCAAACAAACTCCTAAGTTAAATTCCTCAACAATAAAATGTAGTGGGGTATCCTGGGGTGGCCAGGTCCAATGGTTACTCTCTAGGGAGAGAACCCCAAATGAGGGAGTAACTCATGTGGCAGTTACACAGGTGTGATGTGTGACTGCTCAGCAAGAACAGGGTCCCAATCCTTAGAGCAAGAACACAGAGGAATTGAAAACAATATTTTACTAATCCATGAAAATTAACAAAGAGTGTTCTAACCAGTAACAGAACCACCCAGCATTTGTGATGGTGGAAGGGAGGCGGGAGGCAAGGGACAAGAAGGAAATGTCCTCAAGTCTGAGAACTCTGAGCCCACCTACTCCCATGCAGAGGGTTTCTCTCCCTCAGGATCGGGGTACCTTCTGTGATGGGGATCTCCCATGGAGTCATGTTCTGCGGGACCAGCTCATCAAAGAAGGCTGAGGAGGCAGAGACTTCCTCTGTGGTGTGTTTGGAGGCCTGTACAAGGAAGGACAGAGGTGGCTACTTAGAAAATGAACCCCAAACACAGAGAGCTGGCTTAGTAGCTCTCTCTGGGAACTCTTATTTGGCCCTCAATGGGTAAAGCTAAAAGAATACACAGATAAGGTTTGGGAAGGGCTCTAGTTCATGGTTAAAACACAGCTCCACTCCCAGCCCAAAAGCTTATGGACTCTGTATCTCACTGTGGTTCCAAGAAAGAAAGGAGTCTGAAGACTTCTACAGAAGCTGAGCACTTCATTAGAGCAAAGCAAAGGGCCAGGAAGGGGAAAATGACCTAAAAGCAGGTCTCCTGTGCTACCATAGGTCTGGCTGGCTGGGCTCCTACCACACCTGGCTGCAGAAGGCCTGTCGTCTGTTACTGTTGAGGTCATCTCCCTTGGGCTGAAGGCTCTCACCCAGCCCCGAGTCACTCTTCAACCACGTGGCCACCTGTAGGGAGAGACCTACGAGTACCACTCTCCCCAGCAGAAGGTCAAACGTGCATTATGCTTTCTTCCCACCTCTGAACCCCACCAACTAGACTCTCTAATAGATCCTTGAGCTATTTTCCTGGGAAATTGCCTAACTCCAGGTCAAATGTTGTATATGCATTAGTGAAGCTCAAGAAGAGGTATTCTGAGATGGTTTCTATTGACAGGATTCTCTTCTCATCTGCATATAAAGTACATAATTGCAATGTGAAAGCAGCTTACCTTCTTCTGAAGCTCATCTTTACTGTATCCTAAGAGCTTTAGAAATTTCATTCTGGAGTCTTGCTCCAAGGTCACCTAAGGAACCACAGAACACAGAAGCCTCCATTACGTGAATGTACATAACCCTCTCCTGCTAAAACTGGACATAGTTCTTTGTACTGCCTTAAGTGCCCTACTAAGGTCAGTACCATCTCCCTTTTTTTCTCCCCAGATTTGATTCCTGCTGGGCTGTGGGCATAGTGTTAACAAAACCTTTTCCCTCTTCTGCATGAGAAGTGAATCTTCAGTTGACTTCCTACATTTGTTACCCTGGTAACCTGATAAGAATAAAATGTTAGTTATGTTTCTAGGCAGCATTACTTGTGATTAGTAAATTGCATTTGGACTGGAACTGTATAAACTATAATCAATGTGGACATCATGCTCTAGGATTCCCTGATTGCAAGGATCCTTGTAACTGAACAGATCCCTTGCAGAGACCCTAGAAGCTATACTTTTAGAGTTGGTACAAGAGATATTGGCTCTTGTGGGCTTGAGGCTTCTAAGCCAGGGCAACTTACACTGCTTGATGTACATCTCAACTCCTTGACCTGCACTACCTTCAGGGAGCTGAAGAAAACTGCACTGCTGCATGGACTGCCCCCGAAGGGAGCACCTGATGCTGCCCAGCTGACAGGCTGTGGTTCCTGTCCTACATCTTTCTTAGGAGACGCTATCAAGTCAGTCTCCTGAGTCTAAATGTCTAGCTGAGAAGGCTCCTACTGGAAGGTGCATGGATACAGTAAACAAAGTCAGCTTACCCACTCAGTGTACAGATACTGAGGGCCAAGTATTCCTGAAGCCATACCCTAATCTGGTTCACTGGTCTGGGCCCTTCATTTATCCTACACTGGGCCATGAACTGACTACCATCTTTCTCATAGTCTTTCAAGGCCCCTCCTTCTTCCATGGTCTTCCCTTGGAAATGTTCATCCGCAGTCAGTTTCAGGACCATCCTGATGGATAGCTCTTGGGTAGCTTTTCAACTAGACTCCCTCTGCCCTATGGACACCACTGCCTGAGTAAAAAGGCTGAACTGATCATTCCCTCTCTCTTGATCACTCCCTCTATTCTCTTTCCCACCTCACCATTCCTGGAGCTATTACCTGTATCCTGCTTATAACTAAGGCATCCTTTCTCTTTTCTTCCCACATGTTTTCTAGCTTCACTTTACAGTTGATGATCTTTGTCAATCCTTTCCTCCTTCCCACATTCTTGGTGTCTACCTTTATTAACTTCTACTATGTCTGAAGCACAGACTCCAAATCCTTCTCAAACGCCCTGGGACAAGGCCCTGTCCTTGCTGCATTCTTGTCTACAAGCCTAAAGGTCTGAATAACCCTCTCACTGCCTGTCTGATCAGGTGTTTCTCTTTCTCCCGTTTGCCCTCTCCTCTCATTTGCTCATTTCCTTTGATCGCTGTAGCACTCCTCCTGGAGTCGTAAACAACTTGAAGTTACATTAGCACAGTAACTGAACCATGCCTCCAGAGCAGAGTGGGGCTTGAGCCCCGAGTCCCACCACAGTGACTTGCCTTGGGTTACTTGAAACAAACTCAAAGCCTTCTTATGATATATATTCTTTTCAGCTAATCTTCTTCCCTTCCTTTCACTTCCTGTCTTCTCCTTTCCCTTGTCTGACCTTTTGCATGGCACTATGAAAGCCTTCACCTTGACTCCGGTCGAGCATCCAGGACATGAGCAATAGTAGCAAAAAGAGCAAATGTCACTTGTACTCCTCACCTTTCCTAGGCGCAAATGGTCTCTGAGCCTCTGTCTCATAAAAGATTGAGATTTTGTGTTCAGAGTGAGTGTTAAATAGAAAAAACCTAACAGGAGTTAGGGCCTCTGAAATCTGGGTCACAGCCTGGTTATGCGCCTCCTGGTGTTGCCAGAGGCTGGACTACCAAGCTTTGGGGAACACTTCTGAGCATCCAGCCTTCAGGCTTCCTACCTTCAGGAACTGCCAGAACATCTTTTCGCTTTGCACTGATGCTCGCTGGATCTTGTTCCGGCAATAACTGAGGAGATTTCCTGACCCCAGGGCCTCCTGCAGCTCAGCTGACCGCATCAGGAGTTCAGACTCTGTGGTGACTTGACTGATGAAGACCAGGCGGAGGCAAGGCTGTGGCACCTGATGGGCAGGGATGCTGGGAAGGCTAAAGGTAACCAGCTTCCCCCCAAACTGGTGAGGAAAAACAAGAAGGGCAGAGGTTATGCCTTCGAGCTGAAACTTAACACCAACATCACAGGAAAGGCTATATATTGGTCAACCCTAGGATAGAAAATCAATAATAAAAAAAACTCCTGGGGATGGAATAGGGTCAGGAATTGAGCAGCAAATGTGCCCCCATACCAAAACCACCTGTGCATGTTTAGCACCGTCAGCTTAAATCAGCACGTGGTGACATGGCACTCATCTCCTCCTCACTTGTCCTGGCACTGCCCCTCTCCCGGTCACCTGGACCACACGCCTGGGCGTCAGCAGTCTCTACACTCACTACAGCCAACCAACACAGTCTTACCTCTTCCTGTTCCATGTGTCTCATGCAGGTCCCTCTGTCCCGTTCCCATTGCTAGTACACCAGATTACTGGAATCGGTTGCTAGCCTCTAGGATTTTTCCTCCTCCAAGCCAAGCCTCACCTGTACCTGAACCTGTTGCTACTCAGGAGCTTGTAATGGTTTCATAAAGCCACAGGAGAGATCTGAAGCGCCTCTGCCTGTTATGCACAAAATCCTCCAAAATCCCGGGCAGACCTGCCCCTGTAGCACCTCTCTCCCTGCTCATGTATGTGCTTGCTCCACATCCCCCGAGTGCCCAGTTCATTCCTGCTTCTGTGCCCTTACCCACCACAACACCTCAACCTAAGCATCCTCTCACCAAATTAGGTACTTTATGTAAAGCTCTCAGCACAAACACAGAGCTTAGTAAAGGTCTTTTACTCTAGCAATTCTCCACCTTGGCTCCATGTTGAAATCCCCCAGGGAGCTGTTCAAAGTCGCCAGTGTCCAGTATAGTACTGGAAAAAGTGCTTACATATATTTTTATTTGAGGTTCATGTCAATTCACTAACGTAGCTAGGCAGGTATCACTATCCTTGTTTTACGGATAAGAACACTGAAGTCCTGAGTTAAGTGACTGGCCCAAGGTTACCCAGCTGATAAGCAACAGTTTGATAATAAGAATTCAGGTCTCTTTACCTCAGAATCCTTCACTTCACTGCCTCTTGGGTGTGTTGGTCTTACCTCCCTAATAAAACTGCTGGCTCTGAAAACAAGAGCCTCTACTTTTATGCACTTTTTTTTTTTTTTTACCCTCACCCGAGGACATTTTTCGATATTTTGTTCAGATAGAGTGGGAGGGAGAGAGAGGAAGAGAGAGAGAGAGAGAGAAACATCGACGTGAAAGGGACACATCGAGTAGTTGCCACCCACACGACCCAACCGGGGCTGGGGACAAACTGCAACCGAGGTACGGCCCTTAGCGGGAACCAAACCCAGGTCTCTCTGGACCACAGGCTGACGCTCTAACCGCTGAGCCAAACCGGCCAGGGCTGCACCTGTTTTTAATTCAAACCTGATATTGAAAGCATTGGGCTAGGTACTTTAGGGCCTGGCTATGCCTCAGACCAGCAGCAAGGACATCATCTGGGAAACCTGTTGGAAAATCAGAATCTTGGGCCCTACCCCAGACCCAGTGAACCAGAATTTGAATTTTAATGAGGCCCTCGGGTGATCTGTGTGCACATTAAAGTTGAGAAGTACTGCTTTAGAGATAAAAATGAACACTATCTTCAAGGAGTCTATGACTAGGGTCTCGAGACATGCATATAAATAAGTTTAGTACAGTTAGAACGAATCATTACAGGAGTGTATATCTGTGAGATGACAGAAGTGAGGTTAAGTTTGACTAGGGTTAAAGATGGGCCTCACGAAGGGGATGGTATTTAAGCAAGAGGCCTTTAGAGGCTGTAGAAGGATTCAATGGCATAAAGAGAAGCAGAAAGGTGGGGTACAGGTGGAGGTAGCAGAGTTGGGGAGCTATTCGTGGAACAAAAGAGAGTCATATTTATCTGGATCATTGAGAACACATGAGAATAAGGTGGAAATAAAAACTGCAACGGTTGCCCAGCTGGTGTGGCTTGGGAGATTGAGCGCCGTCCCCTGGACTGAGAGGTCCCGGTTCAATTTCTAGTCAGGGCACAAGCCCGGGTTGCGGGCTTGATTCCCAGTGCGGGGCATGCAGGAGGCAGCCAATCGATGTCTCTCTCTCACATCAATGTTTCTTTTTTTTTAATCCTCACCTGAGGACATTTTTTCATTTTTTTGTTCAGATAGAGTGGGAGGAAGAGAGAGAGAAAGAAACATCGACGTGAAAGGGACACATTGAGTGGCTGCCACCCACATGACCCAATCAGGGCCGGAAACAAACTGCAACGGAGGTGCATGTCCTTAGCGGGAACCGAACCCGGGTCTCTCTGGACCGCAGGTCGACGCTCTAACCGCTGAGCCAAACTGGCCAGGGCTCACATCAATGTTTCTATCTCTTTCATCAATGTTTCTATCTCTCTCTCTCTAAAAAAACAATCAATAAAAACATATTTTTAAAAAACTGGAAGGGTAAACGGGGCTCTGTGTGCATTTGGCTTTTGAGCCTACATGGCAATGGGGTCAGGGGGTCAAAGTTTTCGCAAAGAGGACAGAATAAAGTCTACATTTTTTTTCTTTCCTGCTTTGTATTCTAACCCTTGCATAGCTGAACTCACTCCCATTCCAGATACATGAAGGTTAGAGAAAAATCAGGTGGAATCTCTGGCAGTTCTCCACAACCAGGAGGTCTAAAGCAATCAATTCCTTTTGTACAGGACTGTAAGCAGCTGAAGGAGTGGAGGGGGAAGCTATCGTAACTCTCTGCTTGAGCAATAAAGTGAGATCTAATCTGAGATGTAGGTAGATGGAAAAAACATCTCCTGCAGAACATAGCTCCATGCTGGGTACACGGTAGGCTTCATAAGCGCCCACACACACAACCACACACATACACACACTACACTCACAGCAAACGAAACGCCTGCTGGCCTTTTCATCCATTTGGGCGTTGTTTTCAGAGGAGGTATCAGTGATGCTTGGGCCACTCGCTCTGGCACTTGCAGTGGTGGGAGAGGCTGGCCTTTACTGAAGGAAGAAGAGATCTGGGGGCAAAAGGGCACGTGCATCACCAGCCTGAAATGGTGGCCTAGCCAGGAGCTCCACCTACAAACTCCATTTTGGGAGGAATCCCTGAGATACCTAATCTGGCCCACAAAGACCAGACTCCCATTTCAGGAGACTAACAGTGATTGTGGGATTCCCTCAGGGCTTCTGCTTCTAAGATCTACAGAGAAATGGGACACAAAATGGATATATAGAAGACAGGAAGGTAAGACAACTCATACTTCCAAAAGAATGGTCCCAGCATGGAGGTCCGATGTCCCTGAAATGCCACAGGGAACATCCAAGAACAAAAGTCAAAGTGAAGGCCTCCTTTGTAGTGTAGCAGGAACTGACAACCCCCCAGGAAGATGGGCACTGGAGCAAAAGTGTGCCCTCTGAAACCCAGGGCCCTGCCCTCCCACTCTGCAATACCCTCACTTCTTCCCAGGCCCTATGTCCTGCTCTCTCCCCACAAAGAGAGACCTCCCCTTCCCTCCAGCATTTTCCACTAAGCCCTCCAAACCTTGTCAGCCTGTCTCATCTGCTGGACTTCCCAGCTCCTACCCATCACAGAGTACAAACTGATCCAACCATCAAAGGAGGCAGCAGAGAACACTGGAGGGTCCCGAGGGCACCACTGCACGTCAAAGCACCAGCTGCTCTGTGTGGGTAGCTTATATACCACCTAACAGGAGGGAAACCCTGACATAGGTAAGGCCAGAACACACAGCTGCTGCTGGGTTCCCCTACCGTCCGTCTCACCTCCCAACCCAGCACACCCACAGAAGGGCTAGCCTACCTCACTGCTCCCCAGGTTCCAGCACAAAACCTGGTTGTCCTTGGCACTACTGAGCAGCAGCTCCGCATCAGCCTGGCTCCATGACACTGACAAGATACCCCTGAAAAGGAAGGAGGAACTAGCATTTGCTGAATGCCTACTATGAGTAGGGTACTTTATATATCTCTGATAAATCTCATCCCTACAAAATGAGCAGCCTGGTTGCATTTTACAAATGAGGAAAATGAGGCTTTGAAAAATTAAGGGATTTTCAGCAGTCATGCCCCCAGAACCCAAGTCAATTTCCAGAGCCTATGTAATGTAACTATAACACTCTGCCCCCCCCCCGTAGGTCACTGTAGGATGGCCTTCTTCTCCTGATTGTAGAGTAGGGACCATGAATCAGAGAAGCACTCATCCCTATGGGTGCTTTTTAGCTCAGGAGGGTAGTGAGGACCTAACTCTCAAAAGTCCTCAAGGAGGTATAAAGGCAACATAGCCCTTTAGTTAGAAAGAACAGACTGTGGGGCTGCTTTCTCTGCTGTGGGACCAAGAGCTCAGCTTCAGAAGCAGGGCTGTGTGCAGGACAGACAGGAGCCAAGGTTCTTTCATTAAGGAGAAGTCTTGGAGGGGACAACCTCATCACCTAAAGCATTATCCTTAGGTGGGGCCCTAGGGACTCTCCTAGGGGACTAAACACTGGCTCTAATATTTTTCATGACCCCATCTCCACTCCCATTGCCAGATGAAATCTCAGGCTCTTCTCCATAACTTCTGGGTCTAAAGGAACTCCTCTTGGTTGGGGCTAAAACTAGGACTGAGTGACTGTGTGTTCACTGGGATGGTTTTGAAGATAGGGAGGATGTTTGGTAGCTAAAGTAAGGCATTCATTGTCCCCTCCCCAGATCACCAGCTCTCCACCAAGGGTGTAGATGAAGTTTGAGATGCTACCTGCTATGGCTTTCCAGCACCTTCAGGGGCGAGGAAGCGAAGCGCAAGTCCCACAGCTGAATCACGGGGAGACGGTCATCTTCGGAGCACAGCACCAGCTGAGTGGCTATGTCTGGGTGCCAGGCCAGGCCTGAGCAGTGCATCTGTGAACAAAGCAGACTCCAGTGGGTATGTAACCTGCCTCTTCTGGTTATAACCCTTTTCTGCCCAGCTGGAATAGGACCACTCTGAGGAGAGGTTTTGTGTCTCTTCTAGGTGACTGGGAACACCATAGCCATCAACAAATTACTGATGACCTGAATAAGTAAGGGGCATTAGACGCCCCCATATCAGCTCTGTTTAGCTCCCCTAAGCATTCACTCCTGTTAGGAAATCTGCTAGGGGCTGAATCCACATGTGCAACAGCTGAAAACAGAACCCTGGCCTAGAGAGGAGGCAATGCAATGATGAGGCATAAGAGAAGAGCCACATCCCAAGCCTGTATTTTGCTCCATAACTCACCCTGTTGCTGTGGTCACTGACTTTGATGATAGGTTCATTCTTTCTGAGATCCCACACAACTGCCTTGCCACTGGGGTGAGCAGAAGACAAAATGTGCTGAACTTGCCGGTTCCAAGAAAGTGCCTTGATGTCTTCCGGGGGCTGCGGAGACAGGATGGGAGTAGGGGGTGAAGGACAACTTGTTAGCTCCTGGACCACCCACCCACAGACAGCCCATCTGTAGCCATGGTGCTACCCAAACCAAGACAGTCTCAGGGAGCTGGGAGTTGAGTTTTCCAGAGAGGATCCTTTCGGGTACTGATGGAGGAGCTGAGACAATGGTAGGCACACTTGGGGTTTACTCCTACCCTCAGGTGCTTCTAAGAGGCCAGAGTCAAGTCTTGAAAAGAGCCCTCAGGGGCAGGTGGAGGAAGGTGAGGAAGGGAGGGAAACATAAACACCCCAAGTCCCCAGAATGATGCAGGAAGAAAAGCCACTGCTACTTTTAGGGCACACGTGCTAGCAAATTCATTCTTAACTTACCTCACGATACTGTTAAGTATAGCCAGAGAAAAGCCAGGAAGCAAAAAGACAGGCCCAGTTATAGACTGACACATAGGTACACTCAAGAGACAGAGACACATGAGACCCCAACTGCACGGGAAAATGAGATACAGAGACAAGGCTGACCCTCCCCACAAAAAGGACAAGGGTATATCTGGGAGTCCTACACTGGTCCCCTCTGCACAGCCTGCTTAACCTTGCCGAAGCTATACAGTGATAAACAGCACCCTCACTCCTTTTCTCTATGTCTTACTCCCCCCGCTCTCCTTTATGTCCTTCCAGAAACCCCTAAAATAGTTAATGACCACAGACCTCTCACCCCCAACGCCCATCCCTGTTATCATCTGGCTGGTGGCACATTGTCTGTGGAGCTTTATTGCCCTCCAGTGGTAAAGCCTAAAATCTCCTATGGTCTGGCTGCCTCCCAAATTCACTTGTGCCTGGGAAAGTCAGCTGCAAGTTGCACATGTCAGCAGTAGCCCCGGGAGCCTCCTCACCTGTGACTTGGATCCTGGGGTCATCGGCGCACTCAGGTTATTCAAATCCCAAATGAAGATTTCAGAATTACTGGCCCCTGATGCCAGGAGGTTACCCTGTGTGAATAACAGGTCTTTGGAGACCAGCATCCCAGGAAGAGATGGGAGCAGGAGAGGGCAAAAGAGACCCACGTGTGAGGTTTCCAAAGCCTCCCCGCTGGGCTCAGAGTTACAGAATGAAGATCATGAGCGAATGCTTCCGTTCAGAGCTACTGCTTGAGGGCTTGGCCATGTCGGACCAAATGAAATGCAGTACCTGAAAAAGATTAAAGTCAAGGGCTCCGACAGCCCCCGTGTGCTTCTGTCTCTGGGCAATCACAGGCTCCTTCCCGGAAGACAGGACATGGGTCACATTGTATAGAGTAAGCATGCCATTGTCTCCACCGCCTGCAATAACCCCGGAGCCTTCCAGAAGCCCAGTGCCAAAGCTTCCCCAAACCAGCTTGTGAAACCTACAAAGAGGAGAAACTAGCATTAGCACCAATTCAGGTCCCTGTCAGTAAGCATCTGTGCCAGCCTCTGCCATTATACGGGCATCCCCACCCCTAGCTGGGACCTGCCTGTCTTCCTCATATCCCAGACACAGAATGAAGGTCTCCTCTGCCTGGTCCTGCTCCTTCTCTGAAAAAATATTCCCTCTATATTACACTAGAAGCTGGGAAGCCACTGCCTCAAAGTTATGTGGGGATGCTTTTTTTTAAAGTTAATATTATATAGGCCTAGCGATAAATACTTCAAATAGACTACTTCACTCAATCCTCACAACTCAAATAACAATAGCTACCATTTATTGAATACTTCCTATGTACCAGGCACTATCTTAAATGATTTACATGTATTAACTGATTTAATATTCAATAACCCCATAAGGTATTAGTAATTCCACTTTTAATTGAGGAAACTGAGGCACAGAGAAGTTATGACGCTTCTGCATATACAGCTAGTAATTTTATCCTCATTTTCCAGCTAGGAAGTGACAGAATCAATGATCAAAGTCAGGCCCATTTTATTTTAATGCCTGAGATCTATATTGTCTTCTGTTTAGAGGAAGATCCAAACTTTCCTGTACCTGTCGAGAAGCAGATTCCCTAGACCAAGAACTGCTGTCCCCTCTTCCCTCTCAAACTAGAAGTGAGAACAAACCCAAGGCTCTCCCCACCCCAAATCTTTCCCATGTGACTAGCTTAAAAGCTGTTACATGGCAACAGTGGGCCAGCCCTAGAGACATAGAGGCATGAAGAATAAACACACCTCTTGGCAAACACTTTTCTGGTTTTCTGAGGATGCTTCTAACAAGACACTGCCAGCGTCTTACAAAAATTTAAAAACTAAAAAAGATGAACCCTGGGTCCCCTACAAACAAGTGTAGGTCCTCTGCCAAACCCCTGGAGAAGGCATGTGAAATCCCCATAGCCTCCTAAGAGGTCTATCCTCCATTTCTCAGCTGCTAGCCAAGGAAATTTACACAACCCTTCAGAGAAGTCAGATTTCACAGATCCCTTAATAAAATAAAATGTTCTCACACTGTATGAACAGTCAGCAAAAAAAAACAACTGAGTGGGGTGACCAGGCGGGAACCTGTTTGGCCAGTCCTAAGAGCAGAGCCAACCTGCCAGAAGTAAAGAGCTGAGCACCATTTCAAACTAGGTTAGCATCGGAAGCAAAACAGCAAAGCTGTGCATCAGCATTGTGGCTCCCAGGGGGAAAGGGGAGTGGGGGGAAGATGAAGAGGGTAAAGGGGGTTCATTATGTGGTGATGGAAGGAGATGAGACTCTGGGTGGCGAGCACACAATACAATATACAGATGATGTATTATAGAATTGTACATTTTAAGTTTATATATTCTTAATGAATGCCACTCCCAACAGATCTGAAAAACAAAAAATAGTAGAAGTGACACAAATGGTGGCTCTAAAGCTACTGTCAGAAAGGCTGTTTTCTAAGGTTGTCTGGTCTTAGTAGGGCAGAAGAATGTGTTCCATACGCACTCAAGAGGCTGCCAGGGCATTCTGGGGCTAGAGGTCAGTGTGGGCAGAGGGCAAGTCCACAAAATAACTGGAGAAGCCCATAAGAGGTCGTGTGGGAACCAGAGGGGGGTATGGCCAGTGAAAAACTCACATGGGAATGGTAGAAGAAGTGCAATGACCTCACTATGGTCAGAATACATGACCTACAAACCAGAGTAAAAGGTACCTGAGATGTCAAAGAGGGGACAGTCACCAAAGGGTTTGAGAAGAGGACCCAGTTACTCTAGGGTGGCTGAAATGCAGAACACGGTGTAACAAAAAGATTTTCTTTCTGTAAGCATGTAGCAACTATAGTCCCTATGTTAGTCACTTCCCTAGTGAGGGTGAAGCTGGAACCTGAATAGGATGTGACAGAGAACACCTGGGAGAGTGGGAACATGTGGGACAATTCAAGTAAGGACAGGGACTTGATCATTCAGGAGTGTTGATCATCTCTGCTCTGCAAATGGACAGGGGACAAGAAATAGCTGTGGGTGTGTGTCAAGAAAGACAGCACACACGAGCATGTGAGCAAATGTGACAAAATGTTAATAACTTTTGATGAATTTAAGTGAAGGTACACAATTGTTCATTGTACTAATCTGCAACTTGTTTATTATGTTTGAATACTTTTAAAAAAGATGACCTTGGCCTGAAAATAGAAACTAAGAGATTTAAGGGAAGGTATAGGAAGAGGGGTTTGTATGGGAAGATGGGAACTTTCAAAACATAAGAATAGAAGTGGAATTCTCTGCTAAAGAGGTTCCCAGGTTGCCCAGCCAGTGTGGCTCAGTGGTTGAGCATTGACTCATGCACCAAGAGGTCGCCAGTTTGATTCCGGGTCAAGGCACATGCCCAGGTTGTGGGCCAAATCCCCAGTGAGGGGCATGCAGGAGGCGGCCAGTCGATGTTCTCTCTCATCGATGTTTCTATCTCTCTCTCCCTCTCCCTTCCTCTCTCTATAATCAATAAAGGAAAAAAAAAAAAAAAAAGAGTTCCCAGGTTAATGAGCAACAATGGAGACCAAAGGACATCACAGAATGATGGATGGCACCTAAATACAGGTTTTTTGATGCCTACCCAGATCTTGTAAAGCAGCATTTCCAGAGACAGGACTTCAGAACCTTAATATTTAGCAAGACCCTCCAGGTAACGCTAACAAGCAGCCAGGATTGAGAACAACTGTGCTAGATACATCAGACTGCATGCCGGTCAGGGAAGACGTTGAACTTCATAAGGATAGAACTGGCCCTAACAACCAGCTCATTGCTATTCTTCTGGTGAAAAGCAAAAGACAAGGCGGAAGAGAATAAACTGAAGCCTGTGAGATCATAACGTCATACCAGCTAAGCTCATCCGAGGCCAAGCTTTAGTTACCTGACGACTAGGAATATGTACTGTATTCTTGCTATAATTTATGTACATTTTTGTTTTAAATTTTGCTTTTATTTGCTTAGAAAGGTTCCTTTTGGAAAACTTCAGTCTTGTGTGAGTAACCTAAAGTGAAAATGAATTTGTCCACCTCCAGTCCAAAATAGCTGAGGAACTCCAAGTTTCCTTAACAGACACGTAGAGTGGTGAAGGCTGTGCTCCAAGCTCGAGAATGAAGACAGTGGAGTGGAGCAATGGCTGTTTGAGACAACTACTTTCCTGAATGCATAGTATGTGCCAGCTATTACATGCCTACTATATATCCTGGATTTACAGCAGAGAAAACAGGACCAAAGAAGTTAAATAACATGCCCGAGAGGACAGTAGATGGCAAAACTGGGATTCGAAGCCAGGTCTGTCCAACAGCAAAAGCCCACGCTCTTTCTATTCTGTTGGTGTCTTCTAGAAAGAAGGCAAATCTTAGAATCAGGAAAACTGAGAAAAGTATACAAAGTGATCTTTTTCTGCTTGGTGTTGTCCCTTACACAGGCACCCAAAGAGAGGTCAAAGTGCTCCCAAAGAAGGTGGAACTGAGGTAAAACTACTGGAAGACAGATCACCTACTTTCTCCATGTTACTACAGGATAGGTCCTACAGAGGTTACAGAGGCCACTCAGAGATCTAGAACCTCGGTATAGACAGAGGTGGACAGTAGGCCTCTGACATCATTCAGCCTCAGCAGCTATGTTCTCAGATCAAAAGTCAACACCTAAACAATGTATTATTCTCCCAGAAACCTTGCTTCTTGAGTGAGATTCATCTAACAAGTCAAATGCACATGCTAATCCATATGGATCCTGATTGCATCCAGTGACATTTATCCACATACTCTCTTTGGCTGTCCCTAATCTACATCCATACCAGTATTTCAGAACATTTCTCTTCAGTCAGGTAGTTCTAAATGGATATTTCTCTGATGCATCATGGATTGAGAAGGGGATTTTCAGGATTCAAATGTGGTTAAGGCATGGATCTGGTGAAAAGGGCAGGCAAAGGAAAGGAGATTTTGAAAAGTATATGTTTAGTGGGCCAAAAAGGGGGGTGGGGGGACTAAGCTAGAAAAAGAACCTAAGACCTAAATTTCAAGCTCAGTGGGTTCTTAGAAGTCATCTTGTAATGCTTCTTCTTTATATATAAGTGAGTAAACCTGAGACCACTGACAGAACTCCATTTGCCCAAAGTTACATTGCTTTCATCAAGGCTGCAACCCAACACAACTGTGCTTTCCACTTAACCATGCAGATGACACAAAAGAAAAGAGGAAAGCATAAAGCAAAGGATGGGCAGCCCTTCATCTACCCTGATCATCTTGATCAACAGTTCGCGATCTTAACTTTTGAGTAAGTGACCTAACCCAGGCTGGAACAGAGAGAAGTGGGTGTCTTATACCCTATGGTGTCTAAGATGATTACTTCAGAAAGGACCTAAAAGGACTGTGTCAAAGGTAATTCCTTAGGTCTTTGGGAATGAGAACAAATCTTTGGAAACAATTATAACACAGTGAACTGTGCTATTTACTTTGGTGACAGTCCATAAATCCTTGCAGGTTCCAGCAGGATATGAGGTGAAGTTAATGACTCCCACATTCAGTGCCAACATTTCAAAAAGTGTCCCTTCAACCTAGTTGGCTGCAAAACAAACAGGTCATGACCCTTGAAAAGCTCTTAGACTAACTGAAGACTAACTATAACTGAAGTGGTAGGTAAATTCTCAGTTTGAGCCCTGGCTGGTTTGGCTCAGCAGTAGAGCATCAGCCCGCAGATCAATGAGTTGCGGGTTCAATTCCAGCAAAGGGCACGTACCTTGGATGCATTCGTCCCTGGCCCTGGTCAGGGTCGTACGGGAGGCAACCAGACGATGTGTCCCTCTCACATCGATTGTGGATGTTTCTCTCCCTCCCACTCTATCTTCATTCAACAAATATTTATAAGCACCTAATGCAGAGCTGTGTTCTAGTGCTAGATATACAGCAGTGAATAAAACAGACAAAAATCTCTGTCCACGTGGATCTTAGGTTTCAATTTCAAGGTTTCTTAAGCAATTATAATGCCTCGTTTTTAGTAACTCTAAGCCTAAGGAATCACTACTGTACTGAAGCTGCTGCTTGGCTGGTCAAGAATAAGACCCCCTTGCCCACTGCCCCTTTTCTTACCTCCAAGAGTACAAACATTATTGAATTCGCTCACCCCTATCAGGAGCCCTTTCTGAACTGCTTGCTTAGAGGCTAAGAATATCTCATCATTATTGGTAAACACTCTAGTGCCTGTTCGTCAAAAGGTACAAACACTGGAAATACAGAGATATGTAAAAAACTGAAAAATATGGATACTGCCATAAAGTAATACAGGGGCTCAAGAAAAAGAGAAAAATAACTAATCTTCATTATTAGATTAAACCATGAAAATAAAGAAGAGGATACTTCTTTCTAAATGTCCTCACTAATCTCGCAGATGGGCCCAAAAATTCACAAGATGATGGAACACTGTATTCTAAACTGGGATGGGCAAGATAATTTTCTCAGCTGTAAGAAAAAGATTCATATTTTTAATCTAAAAAATGATATACATTGAATTTTATTAATAGGACAATAATAAATGTACATTATTTATATTGAATATATGACTTAAGTACAGTGATTCCCATTTTTCCGATGGTACAAAAATTTGGAGACCACTGCTTCAGACTGTAAGCGTCATCTTTACAGAACCTTTTTATTTTTTTTAATCCTCACCCGAGGACACTTTTCCAGTTTTTATTCAGATAGAGCGGGAGAGAGAGAGAGGAAGAGAGAGAAACATCGACATGAAAGGGACACATCGAGTGGCTGCCACCCGCATGACCCAACCAGGGCTGGGGACAAACTGCAACCGAGGTACATGCCCTTAGCGGGAACCAAACCCGGGTCTCTCTGTACCGCAGGGCTGATGCTCTAACCGCTGAGCCAAACCGGCCAGGGCATCTTTACAGAACCTATAAAAGAGTAGTTGAATAATGGTAAGAAGGTAGCCTTTGGAGTTAGACAGGTGGAAACTTAAATCCCAGCTTCTCAGAGTTTTGGTGCCCTCCTATGTGAAATGGCGATAATATTATTTATTGCTTAGGCTAATTTTGAGGACCTGGCATGTATACATGTGCTCAGTGAATGCTAGTGAATGCCAGCCCTTTGGCCTGCCAGAGCCATGAGATCCCTGAGAACCAATCAGTCCCTGACAGCCCTGAGGACAGGATCACTTGTCCTCCTTCATTTGGCAGAAGAGGAGGATATTGTGCAAGGTTTTTATCTTCACAAGAGCTGAGGGGTGGAGTCAATATCTCTGGGTCCAGAGAGAGACCAGGTCCAGGCTTATGTAAAGCATCTTTGTCACATGATTCTACCTAACACTGCTACTGCTGACCAGGAAGGAGTGGGTGCTTTTAAAGTCATTTTGTAAAATAAACCCAGAGTTAACTTCTCTCCAATTTAGTGAGGGTCCTTCTTCCCTCACTTGTCTCCTCATGAGCCCTGAGAAGCACACACTGTTCCCAGGATTCCCCATCAGGGTCTGCATCAGGATCTGCCCTGCATACCCGTCAACACTACAGACATAGTACCTGCTTGAGGCAGAAAGGACTCCCTTGCGTTTCAAGTCCAAAGAAGGGTCCCTGAAATCAATCTCAAAGATTTCCAATGTGCCATTTGTGCTAAAGGAGGCATCTAGCTGCTGGGCAGATGTTCCTAGGCACAAGAAAAGTTAGGAAGAGGCAGCGTATGAGCAACAAAATATGCATGGATTTGGGGTAAAAATGGTTAGTGAGTGGAAAGGAGGAGAAACAGGATAAGACTGAGTATACTCTTTTTCAAATGGTAACTGCAAAAAAAGCAGGAGGTGCCTTAGCCTTGAGCCATAGTTTAAGGCTGCCTCCAGGTACCAAAACCATCTAATATCCCCTTGCTTATGCTGTGAGCCAACCCCATGATTCTAAAGCTTTCTCTCATGTTCAGTAAAGAATTCTGCATACTAGCCCTGGCCAGTTTGGCTCAGCGGTTACAGCGTCGGCCCGCGGTCCAGAGAGACCCGGGTTCGGTTCCCGTAAGGGCACGTACCTTGGCACGTGCCTTGGTTGCGGTTTGTCCCCGACCCTGGTTGGGTCGTGCGGGAGGCAGCCACTCGATGTGTTTCTTTCACATCGATGTTTCTCTCTCTCTTCCTCTCTCTCCCTCCCACTCAGTCTGAACAAAAAATGAAAAAATGTCCTCGGGTGAGGATTAAAAAAAAAAAAGAAAAAGAATTCTGCATACTAACTTTTCCCTTGATCTATGTTCTTCCCGTGGCTCTTGTCCACAGTATTACTATACCTGTGGCCAGATACACAGGGTACTGGCTGGCTGGGCTCCACACTTGGACAGCTGGCCTCTCAAGTTCCTTGAGCTTCATGGTCTGACCTGTAGGTGGCAGAAAACTGACATGGCCCTTAGCTCACTGAAAACGGAAACCAGCAAGCTTAAGGGCCAGATCCAGGGAGTACCTGTGGACACAAGATCTTGTTTCCCTCTCTCCATCACGGGATAGGGCATCTCAGGGCAACACAGAGTGATAAACACATGACCATCTGCGTATCTGTAAGGTCAGTTCAATTAACCAATTACTAAAATCTAATGCTTTAAATCCAAAAATATAATCAACCACACTGGTTGCCACAGGCCCCATGGTAATGATAACAATCAAACCAGATAATCTCTCAGTGATTTTGTCAATTCCCTTGGCTTTAATTATCATCCATATGCTAATGACTCTCAAATTTATATCACCAATACATACCTCTCTGAGTTCCAAGTTTTTATATACAACAGCTAATCAAATATTTCCACTTGGATTTAGCAGATACCTAAAAGTTAGTCTGTCTAAAATGGAATTCTCTATCCCACATATTCTCCCCCCAAAATCTGTTATTCTCTGGTGTTCTTCATCTCAATAAATGGTACCACTATCTACCCAAATGCTCAACCCAGAAACCTGAAAATCATCCTTGATCCCCTCCTTCTCCCTTATCTCCTTCTAATCCGTCATTGTCTTCCAGATTTTACGTCCAAAATGTATCTTAATCTGTCTAGTTTTCTCCATCTCCACCACCACCACTCTATTTGAGGATACCATCATCTCTCACCTAGATTACTTCAATAATCTTTTAATTGGTTATCTCCCTGCTACTCATACCATCACCCAATTCATTCTCTACATAGCAGCAGGAGTGAACTTTTAAAATAAAAAATGAAATTTTGGCATTCCATGCTTAAAATCTTTCAATGGTTTCTATCACACTCAGAATAAAATTCAAACCCCTTATTATGGCTCCACTCAAAGGCTCTAGCCTACCACTTCATCTCTTGCTACTTTCCCCTTACTCATTGTGCTCCAACTGCATTAGCTTTTGTAAACTTCCTGGCCTTTTCCCACTTTACAGCTTTTTCGAGTTTTGTTCCTTGTACTTTAAATGTTCTTCCTTTTATTCTCTGCATGACTGGCTCCTTATCACATTTTTCTGGGCTCGGCTTCTCATCCCCTTAAAGCAGTGGTACTCAACCTGTGGGTCACAACCAATTTGGGGGTCAAATGACCCTTTCACAGGGGTCGCCTAAGACATAACAGTAGCAAAATTACAGTTATGAAGTAGCAACAAAAATAATTTTATGGTTGGGGGTCACCACAACATGAGGAACTGTATTAAACAGCCGAGGCATTAGGAAGGTTGAGAACCACTGCCTTAGAGGTAAGCCACCCAATCAAAACAACCTCAGTATTTTTCTTTGTAGCAATTTATAATTATATATTTATTTACATTTACATTGGTGGTCTCATCCACTAAGTAAACCCCATGAGAGCCAGCACTGTGTCTGCTTTCTTCATCATGTTATAACTAGTGCAAGAATAACATCTGACACACAGTAAGTGCTTGATAATATTTGCTGAATGCAGACATCCATTTAAACTCTGTGGTTTCCAACCTAATTCTAACGCACATTCAAGGTACCATCCCAATGAGCTCTCAAAGCAGCAGAAAAGTAAAAAAAAAAAAAAAGTAACACAACATGTGGGAAGAAACTTGGGACTCACTGCCACATGCTTTAGCAAGCCACACTCAGATTACTTCTCAATTTACAAAAACAGAAAGTAGTATTACTTAATCTCTAATGTACTTTCTATCTTGAAGAAAGTTTAGCCAAGATTTCCAGTAAGTCTCTGAACACTGGAGGCTACATCAGGAATCTTCTGACACACTCCCTACACATCATACTATATAGTTACCAGTGCCACTTGCTGGTCAAAACCATTTTCACGTTTCTGGGAAAAGATCGTAACAAAAGTAGAAGTTGCTATTAGCATTGTGCACTTGACATATATAATTAATTTAATTCTCACTATGGTTCTATGTGGTAAATACTATTATCATTCCCATTTGACGAAGAAAAAAACTGGGTAGGTCAAGATAGGAACCCCTATCAGCCTCCAGAGCCCAGTGCTTTTAACCATCATAATAGTCTAAACCAAACTAAACTCCACAAAGTGTTTAAATCCCGACAGTCTAGAAATTGGGAATAGGCTTTTAATCTACTTTGTTCAAAGACATCTGTTCACAAAAAAGTACTCCCGCTAGGGTCAGAACGGCTGGGGAGGGGGCGTTGAAAGTGGGAGAGCTATGACCCTTAACCAAGAGCGAACAGACTCGTGCAATGACGGAGGGCACCTGCTACCCCGGCAGTCCCGTCTCCATGGAGGGCGGTCAGCACAGCTCCTCCCAGCCGTCCCCGAAGCGCGGCGCGCGGGGGTCAATGGTGACCGGCCTTCCCCCCGACCAGGTGCAGAGACTGGGAGCGGGCCCGGGGCCGAGCCAGGTCAGGGCCCAGGGCGCATGGGAAGGCGCGAGGGCAGCGCTGAAGAGGGACCAGGCGCGGCAGGTGGAGGGGAGCCGGGTCCAGGGGAGGGCGCAGGGTGAGGGCACACTAGCCAAAGCTGGGGTCTCCGCAGAGGGCGCGCTGCCCCCGGGCGCTCTCCCGAGGGAGAAGCGGCGCTCCAGGTTCCGAGCTCGGTCTCTGCTCTTAGGGCCCCAGAGTGGCGGGGAAACCAACCTGCCGGGAGAGCTCAGGCGGGGGAGCCGGAGGCCGTGCGGGTCTTCTCAAAGGGCTTTGGGGTTCAGCTGGGCGCTGTGGACGGCGGCTGTGGAGGGCCAAAAGTAGTCCTGGTCCGCAGGGCATCGCAGCCCACACGCGCCTGGAAGCTGGGAATGGAGAACTGGGCTGGGACCCAACAAGAGGATGTAATAGGACAGAAGCTTTTTTCTTTTTATCCTCACCCAAGGACATCTTTGTGTTTATCTTCAGATAGAGTGGGAGGGAGAGAGACACATCGACTGGTTGCCCCCACATAACCCCAACAGTGGCCAGGGAAAAACTGCAATAGAGGTAGGTGCCCTTAGCAGAACCGGGCCTCTCTGGGCCGATACTCTAACAGCTGAGCCAAACCGGCCAGGGCTAGGACTGTAGCTTTTTTTTTGGTACGTGCCCCTAGCGCGAACCAAACCCAGGACTCTTTGGTCCAACCGCTAATATGCCTCCCTCACCTGTCCTATGATGATTGAACAGTTCTGCCACAGGGGATCAGATCCTGCCACCAGGAAATTCTGGTTTATTCTATTTGAGCTAGGCTCGGAAGCCAGCCTCTGAAAAGGGAAAATACTCCTTCATTTTCTCCTTATTTAAGTAGAGAAGACTGGGCCCTAGCTCCAGGAGCTCGCAGTAGAACCCTAATTGAAAGGTAAAAAGCAATCGAGGCCATAAATAGCTGTGACACACTGTAGCCCAACTGGTGACCAAAACTATTGGTTGAAATAATTAAGAGGCTATAGGCGTGCACAGTGCAAGGTACTGTAAACCAGGGGCTTCCTAGGTTTCAGGGACACAAGACAGGTGTTATACCTTGAGCTGAACTGCAAGTTGGGTAATGTCTCAATAAGGAGGAAGGGGCCCAACCAGCTAATAGCTGCCCTGTCACTTCTCATACCATGTATAAAAGAGGCTAAAGGTTAGGGAATAGGCTGGTTACAGGTTGAGAAATACCAATTCAACTCAGATAACTGGGAGTTATTGAAAATTATGGGTAAGGATGCAATAAGATATAGATTGTATTTTGAGACTAGCAATACAGATCCACTCAGGAAGAGAACAGAGGGCTGGAGGCAGGGACCCAAATTAGACTAACAGAACCCAGGTATCAGGTGATAGAAGCCTGGATTAATATAGTGGCAATGTTGGCAATGGAAAATTGGATGGGCTTTTGTGCCTGATAAAGGACTTGGGGAAGAGGAGGTGGAAAGATCATATATATTTCTTACGTTGGTTGAGGGAATCATGGCATTTCCAAATAAAGTGTCCTGTAGGCAGCTGAAAATCTTAGATCTAAGTTATTTGATTCAAAACTTCCATTTAATGCATGAGTTCCACCGTACTCCTGCCTGATATCTTCCAGGGATGGTGAGCCGGTTATCTAACAACAGACCCTCGAGTCATTGTGACATCACTCTAGATTTCCTTTCCTGCAGATTTAGGAGTTTCCAAGTCAGGACAGAAGACAATGTAGGGCATTATCTGTGCCTGTCCACTCTTTGCACTAAGTACTTAAGTATTTCTTGAACTTCTTAGCACCACAACAGTGGATGAGACCTGAAGAGAAGTAAACAGGTTTGATAACTGAACCTCAGGCAATACATCAAATTAGGGGATGAGGCAGAAGAGTCACTGATGAAGTGCTCTGCAAGAAATCTGAACCTAAGCCATAAGGTCAGTTTCAAGCAGGGCATAGTTTTTTTGTTTTTCTAGTGTACTTTTCTCTCAATTCACCCATTTTATAAATTCTTTTCACCTTGTTTCTAAACTGCCAGTCTCCTCTTCTAGGTAACTACTAGAAGGCAATTATTTTGTCTTGTTCAACTTTATATCCCCAGGGCCTCAGTGTCTGGTATATATGAGGCACACAGATGTTTGTTAAATGATTACCAAATGCTCTAAAGGACAGAGAATGAAGACAGAAAAAGACAGTAAAGATTTTCAAAGACGCATTTCATGAGAAGTACCCACACCCTGGTTTCATAAGTTTTTCACTGCCTGGACAACCACTAAAGGACCCCTCATCTCCTAACTTGAATGGACTTGCTTCTGTAGGGCTATTAAATGTATGCTTTTTTTTATGGGTCAGATTTTCAGCAATGTGATTGTAATTTAAGAAACTGTCACCAAAAGAAGAAAAGAACATAAGTTGCATTGAGACAGACTCTCAAAAACATGGTTTTCCTCTTTCTAAGGCTATAATGGAGCTTGGATGAATCATGAAGGCAACAAAAGCCATAGGTTCAGTAGTAACTCACTGAACTGTCCTCTAATTCATAAATATAGGTAATGTTAGCTTATAAGAAGCTAGGATTCAGAAGTTGCTTTGGAATAAGAGATACATATTTATATAAGAGAAGTAAAATTAGAGGCAGTCACAGCCCTAGGCCAGTTCAAAAACACCTATTTATCCTATAATGTATTTACAACATGTTACAGTACAATTTTTTTTTTTTTTTTAATCCTCACCCGAGGGTATTTTTCCATTTTTTATACAGATAGAGTGGGAGGGAGAGAGAGAAAAACATCGACGTGAAGGGACACATCGAGTGGCTGCCACCCGCACGACCAACCAGGGCTGGGGACAAACTGCAACCGAAGTACGTGCCCTTAGCGGGAACCGAACCCAGGTCTCTCCAGACCGCAGGCTGACGCTCTAACCGCTGAGCCAAACCGGCCAGGGCAAGTACAATTTTTTTTATTAGCTAACCACTATTATTGAAAAGGCTTATTTATGGGAAATAATTTTTGTTCCAACTTGGGAAGTAAGGAACATATCTTCCTTCTTCCTCAACTCTGTAAATGAGAAAAGGAGCTACCCTTAGCATCTCAACTACTGTCACAGGCCCAGCAAAGTTAACAAATTAACATCTTCTTGTGCTTAACTACCCTCACCCCCAACCCTTTCAATCTCTGGGTGGGAGCTGGGGTGGGGAGGCAATGCAGGCAGAAAAAAAGAGAAATGTATGAGGTTCCTTATGGCAGTTACTGGGAAAATGAGGCACAGATACCACGCACTGTTTTATTAGAGATTTCATTAAGGTTAAACTAGGAATGAGGGAGTCAACTAGGGGGCAAAAAGCCCATGAAGCCTCCTCAGATTTCATAGTGAACCACAGTCTCAGGCTCTTTGGTGGGATCGCCGCCTCGTTCCAGGTACAGATTATTATAAGGATACTGCTTTGGCCCCTAAGGAAAAAACACAGGTCAGCAAGAACAACATACATCCAGCCAATACCTGGCTACATCCCACTCTGAGTTTAATAGTCATGCACAGTAAATGGGTGTGTGGTAGCCTCTGGTCAGACCCAGCTGTGCTAGAATGGCAGAAAGAGCATTCCTCTTCCCTGCTCAGCCCAAGGCAGAGAGAAAGCCTAGATTGTAAGAGAAGTGGTGCCCACACTGTGTGTGTGTGTGTGTGTGTGTGTGTGTGTGTGAGAGAGAGAGAGAGAGAGAGAGAGACAGAGAGAGACAGAGAGACAGCAAGAGCGAGAGCAAGAATGAGAGAGAGCACCAGGGAGAGCTTTCTAAATGAGATGATGCATCCATCCATCCCACTCTCTCGAGGTCAAGACAGACTCAATCTCCTTTAAGTCACTCAGCCTCTAATGGTTCCACCACTAAAGTGGCCTAGCAAATGAGGCGTGCAGGAGCAGCAGTGAGGGAAAGCACAGAGGAGACACGGCTGGGACGTGCTTTAGGGGCTGCTGGCTTTACCAACAAACAGCTGTCAGAGAACACAGCTCAAGGGGAGGAAAAAAGGGTGATGTGCTTACAGAACTGAAAAATGGAAGAGCCACTGTGTTTCTTGGTCTCCTGAAGTGAAGTTAGTGCTCACACCAGCCCTATGTGCACTCTCTAGCCTGGGGCCCCTGGGGCTTGGTAGGAAGGCTCGTGTCAGTGCACACAGATATACCAGCTACCATTAGGACATTGATTATCTCTGCAGAGGTAGCAATGAGTAGCCAACTGCAAATACAGCAGCTTCCCTGCTTTCAGTTCCTTTCCTTACAATCTATCCTGTAGACTACTCCCAGATTAATCTTACTAAAAACCTAGCTTTCATTATGTCATTCTTCTGTTAAAAAACCCAACATCGCTCCTGGCTGCCTAGAGGCAGACCAACTCATCACTGTATCCCCAACCCCTAGCAGGGTCTGGAACTGGTACACAGCAAGGGCTTCATAAATATTTGTTGAATTAATGTGCTACTACACCATCAAGTCCAAATCCCGTAGCAATGCAATAAAAGCTGAATTTTTAGCAGCTCTCCAGGTAACCGATGCAGCTAGTTACCTAGGAATTATTTTATATGCTTGCTCCACTCCAGCTAACTCACTCTCCTTTTCCTTCCTGCATTCTGTCTTCTCTTGCTCCAAATGTTCTCTCCAACTTTTCCCTACCACCTAAAGTGTGTGTGTGTGTGTATATATATATATATATATATATTTAGCATCTAGTTTAACCCTTCTCCTTAACAGCACCTCAAATCCCTTAGCACATTCACTACACACATATATACACAAAAACTGCCAAATTCCTATATATCTGTTCAAATGTTGCTCATCATGTCATTTACCTAAATTTTCTTTTTACTCAAATTCAACTTCCTTAAAGCTAGACAGAATTATTTCTGTCTTTTACATTCTCCAAAATATAACCATCTACGTTTGTGGTGAACATTTAATTGCTTCCAATACCCCGTAAGAGGTGCTCTTCACACCTCCAAAAAGGATAAGGCTTCAACTCTAGATTCCATGACTCTACCTTGAAAGATCACTTGATGAATATAATTGGTAAGGTACAGTCCCCAAATGGCAACTCGAGAGACTGGCTGGCTTCCACATTCTCATTCCTCACGGAGTCCTAAACTGTTTCTTCAAATTCAGGCTGATCAAAGATGTAGACATAGAGCAGTGCTCTGGTATTTGTGCCAGGCCAATGCGTAAGGCCCTCTATAGGCCTTACAAGGAAGTCAAACTTGGTACTGGCTGATCTCTACTCCAAAGAATTCATTCCCTCAGGAAACAGGGCTAAGTAAATGTGCCCAAGAAAGCATTTTTCAGATACTCACCACGGGCTGGTAGGAGGGATACGTCTCCCCCACCCAAAACATGAACAGCATGAAGGCCACGAAGCCGAAGAGGTGCTTACACATGACATTCCAAGAAATAGGCGTGGGGGACGTGTCCACACGGTTCCTGATATACATATCTAGGTCCCAGTGAATCTAAGGCAGAAAGGCAGATAACTGTCACATACTGCTCTTCCTGCAAAAGCAAGCAGAATGATCAGAGCCTGATAAAGGGCTTGACAAAGACATTCTACTGCCCTGGGCAATATTCTGAGAGCCAAATTTGAGATACTCTGGCCCACAGGACTAGATGCTTGTTTATGGTTAGGTACTGCTGACCAGAGACAGCTCAATCATGGAAATTTACAGAGCTTGTTAATTCCTAGAAGTCCCATTCCACATGCCACATATAGAACCTCAGATCTCAGATCAATGGATTTTGCTTCCTTGGGCAGAAAACCTTAGTGTTACTTGGACAGAGAAATGCCATTTGAGCTAAAGAAAGAATCCAGGAATATATTAGGGAGAAGGAAGAAAGGTTATATGGGATATAGTTCTCTTACCGGTTCACCCCAGTTCAATCTCAGGTCTGGGTGGTCCCACTCATACCATGGATCCCTCTCGTGCTGTGAGCGGTCAGGGAGCTTTGGGTAGTCGCCATACCTGAGAGACAGCAAGAACTTCTGGAAGGGGCTCTGGGCAGTGTCTCTCAGATAATTCAGTCTCATCTCAAAGAAACCAACTGACAGAGATAACTGCCTTACCTAAGGACAGAGGAACTGACTTTGAAATCAAGATCTCAATTTGTAGTCACTAAGCACAAAACTAACCACAGAAGTCCAAATTGTATTTAAAGTTCATGTCAAACTCTGAAACATTATATAATATCGTAAGTTTTTCTTACCTTCTTTCAACAAAAAGTCACATAATGTTATATTAGGCCTAGAAGGGCATCTAGTTATCCATCACTCTGTTTTATTCATTAGACAGAGAATGAAACCGAAGTTTAGGGTCTGAACCCAAGGCCACCCAGCTAATTGGAAAAAACAAAAAGGGTATACAGATTACAAAAGTGTTCTTTTCATAGCATCTGTGTTCCTCAACCACCGAGTTGGCATATATCTTCATGTTTCAAACACCTCATAGGACTTCTTGCTAAGTTGGGTTTTCCCCAACAAATCCAGGTTCAACTTATACAGAGGGCTATCAAGGGTGCTCTTCTCCACAATAAAAGACATAGGAAATGATGACAACCAGACATATATCACAGGAGGTAGTTGGAAAACAACAAAATAAATAGGAGCTGCTGAAATCATAACTGAAAGAGTAATGCTAGGACAGAAAATGAGGGTGCTAGTAATCACTTCAGATGATTAACCATAGACATGTTATGTGGCTCGGCGCGCACAGGGTGGGGGGTGGGGGGGTCGGTAACATCAATTGGAATAAGGGAACTGGCTGTTTAATCTGCTTTACAGTTGCTAGAATTTCCACAGCCCTAACAGTAGTGACATTTTTAAAAGGGGAAATATACACAAACATAGAGCACTCCATCTACAAATAAGGTTCTCCTGACAGGATTCCAGTTCCAGCCTGGTCACGTGCCTGGACGACAGCACCTGAGCCCAGCAGATGCTCAATCCAAATGAAACCTTGCGCTCTGGAAGGAGCCAAGGAAGGTTCCTGCTATTCAGGGGTCCTCGGGGAGCTATTAAAACCTCGCATCCTCATTTGAGGAAACCGCCCGAGCCAAGGAGAAAATTAAAGTCCTCTCGGCTGCAGCTGCTCCCCCTCCCCCTCCCACCTCTCTCCACCGAGAAAAGCACCCACACCACTGACTCTGAGGGGTCATGGGAAGGTTGAGTCGAACTACCTAACCCAGCCGCATTCCCCCATCACTACCCAGGTGCAAGCAGACCCTCTCTACCTCACCCCATGCCATCATCTGGGTACGGCTGGTAGTCTTCCACCCGCATATTATACTTCTTGGCGGCGGCAGCCAATTCTTCTGGGGTCTTGGGATAGGACCCCGGAAGCATGTCCTTGGTAATGTGGGAGGCTGGAAGGCAGACAAGGGCAGGTCAGAGGCACCTCGTTTTGCCTGTCGCCCCGAAGATTTCAAGCTGCAGTGGCTGCGGAGCCCGGAGCCCGAGACTTCCAGGGACCAGCGAGACCCTCCACCCGCTTTTCTGGATATACCAACTCCACCCTCCCCCGACACACCAACCCTGAGGCATTCCCTTCCCACACTGAGGCCTCGCTCTTTCTCGCGGACCTGTCCGTGCACCCAGCGGTACCACGTTCCGGGCTGCCCTTTGCAGCCATCGGACTCCCAGGACCCTCGCCCCGGCCGCCGCCATCTTGACCTTCTCTCTGTTTCACTCCGCACATGCGCAAAGGCCTGTCACGGTGGCTGAGCCGGGCCAAACGCGACGGCAAAGCAAGTAGTGAAGAAAAGTCTTCAGGGTTCAACAGGGCGGGGCTTAAGCTGTGTTGAGAAGCCAAAGGTAAGATGTGCGAAGGCATAGAGGCGGAGAGGGAAAACTGGAAGGGGAGGAAACCAAGCAGGTCACTGCTTTGATATTTAAGGTTGTAGTGTCTCTTTTTCTCCCTCAGTTGACTTAGACGCATCCAAGGATAGTGAGGACTCAGAACCTGAGCACCTCATGTGGACAGCTGCCCACCTGCCCCAGGAGCTGTACAAGTAAAGTGAGACAGTGTTAATCTCTGACAGCTTGCCTTTTCCTCTCTTTTACTGGCACTTGCTCCATTCATCCCCAAAAGTGATCATTCTTCAAATTAAACTCTTGGTGTTGCTTTTTCTTGTTCTGTTTTCCAAATTGGTTGATCCCTTTTACTTAGATGTGCGGTGCAGCGGGTAAATCAGCCTCGAACTGGCTTCTCATTTTCAGTCCTTTGTTTACATACGAATGTCCCAGTCATCTTAACCCAACAAGTATAAAATCAATCTTATCTCCAGAGGCAGCTTTTCCAAGCCCGCATAAAGCCTCAAAGATTTGCCCGGACTTGGATAAACAAATACATTGCAAACCGGAACACAACAAACACTAGCTTAATAGAAGAATGGGGGACATTGTTATGTTTGCATATGAATATGTTTTCATTTTATTTCACAAGTAGAATTTGCATAGTGTACACAGTGTAAATATGCACATATTTCCAGGAACTTGTAGATATTCTCAAATATATATCAGAGCAATAAAGACATATATTTACTATTCGGTATATAAATTTTGGGGAGGACTTCTTCACAGCAACTTGCCCTCCTGTAAATCGGTCAAGATGGCAGTGTAGGTAAACGCGGTATCACATCCTCCACGACCACTAAACTACAGAACAACCATCATTCAAAACGGCCTGAAATCAAGCTGAATGGAAGTCCTACAACTACGGAATTAAAGAAGCAACTGTATTGGGACTGGTAGGAGGGGTGGAGGCTGACGGGCTGGTCCCACACCCACGTGTGGCGGATAAAAATCAGGAGGATACCTCGGCTGGGAAGGTCCTCCCTGAGGACTGAGGGGTCCCCATCCCACACCAGGCCCCCTGCTCAGGGTTTCAGTGCCAGGAAGAGCAGTCCCCATAACTTCTGCCTGGAAAAATCAGCAGAAACAGGCACAGTGAGGCTGAGGTGGCTGAAGCCCCAGGCAGCTCCTCTTAAAGGGCCTGCGCACAGACTTATCAGACTTGCTCCCTTTAAGCTTGGAGGGGAGGCAGCTAGAGGGGCGCCAGAGACATACAGGGAAGAACTGAGCTGTTTGGTATTGGAGCAAGGGCTGGAGAGGGGGCTTTCTCCAGGACAAATAGCTGTCAGAGGCCTTTGTTCCTTTGGTGAGCCCTCCCCTGGGGTGGCAGACAGCCACCATATCTGGGACTCCAGCAACCTGGCTCACACTGGTAGCCCTGCTCTGGTCACTCCCTGAGGCCCTGCCCCACCCCACCCAACTTTCAGGCCCACCCAAGCTGTTGCCAGTTACTTAACCATAGGATTGACCTGTCTTAGATCCTGCTTCAGGTTTTCCTAAATTCTTTCAAACGAGCAGCATCTGGTCTCAGATAGCCCCATACCTCTTGTTAAGTAATACACAGAAACAAACACAGAGAGGCAGCCAAAATGAGGAGACAAAGAAACAAGTCCCAAATGAAAGAACAGAACAAAACTCCAGGAAAAGAACTAAGCGAAATGGAGATAAGCAATCTAACAGATGCTGAATTCAAAATACTGCTTATAAGGATGCTCAATGAACTTAGTGAGGGCCTCAAGAGCATTAAAAAGGACCAGTCAGAAATGAAGGATGCACAGTCAGAAACAAAGGAGGCACTAACTGAAATAAAGAATAATTTACACAGACTCAATAGTTGAGTAGGTAAAGCCAAGAAGCAAACCATCGATTTTGAATACAAGGAAGCAAAAAACACCCAATCAGAACAGTAAAAAGATAAAAGGATCCAAAAAAATGAGGATAGTGTAAGGAGCCTCTGGGACAACTTCAAGTGTGCCAACATTTGCATCTTGGGGGTGCCAGAAGGAGAAGAGAGAGAACAAGAAATTGAAAACCTATTTGAAACAATAATGGCAGAAAACTTCCCTAACTTGATGAAGGAAACAGACATACACGTCCAGGAAGCACAGAGTCCCAAGCAAGATGAACCCCAAGAGGCCCACACCAAGACACATCATCATCAAAATGCAAAAGGTTCAAGATAAAGAGAGAATCTTAAAAGCAGCAAGAGAAGAGCAGTTAGTTACTTACAAGGGAGTTCCCATAAGACTGTCAGCTGATTTCTCAAAAGAAACTTTGCAGGCCAGAAGGGAGTGGCAAGAAATATTCAGAGTGATGAAAAGCAAGAACCTACAACCAAGATTACTCTATCCTGCAAAGCTGTCATTTAGAATCGATGGCCATATAAAGAGTTTCCCAGACAAGAACAAGTTAAAGGAGTTCATCACCACCAAACCATTATTATATGAAATGTTGAAGGGTGTTTTTGAAGAAAAAGATAAAATATATGAACAAACAAAATGGCAATGAATACATATCTATCGGCAATAGAATCTACAAACAAAATGAACAGGCAGAACAGAAACATTCTCATAGATAAGGAGAACATTTTGTTGGTTGCCAGATGGGAGGGGGTTTGGGAGAATGGGTGCAAAAGGTGAAAAAATTAAGAAGAACAAATTGGTTGCTAGACTGACAAACCTCAAAGAGAAGGTGGTTGGGGAGTGGGGAGAAATAAACCAAAGAACCTATATGCATAACCAATGGACACAGACAACAGTGTGGGAAAAGGCAGGATGGGGGTGGAAGTGGGGAGGAGGGGGTCAATGGGGAAAAAATGAGGAACATCTGTAATACACTCAACAATAAAGATAAAAATAATAATAAAATAAATAGTTGATGTTCAGAATGATTGGACACTATCTGTATTCAATCAATAAAAAGGCCCTGATCTAATTTGGGTCAAAAAACAGAGTTGGTCTAATTTATTTATTTATTTTTATTAAGATATGATTTACATGGCATAAAATTTCCCTTCTTTTTTTATTTTATTTTATTTTTTATCCTCACCTGAGGACATTTTTCTATTTTTTGTTCAGATACAGTTGGGGGGAGAGAGAGGAAGAGAGAGAAAGAGAGAAACATCGATGTGAAAGGAACACATCGAGTGGCTGCCACCCGCACAACCAACCAGGGCCGGGGACAAACTGCCACCGAGGTACGTGCCCTTAGCGGGAACCGAACCCGGGTCTCTCAGGACCGCAGGCCGACACTCTAACCGCTGAGCCAAACCGGCCAGGGCAAATTTCCCTTCTTTTAAAGTGTATAATAAAGTTATTTTTTAGTATACTCACAAAGTTGTGCAATTATCACTAATTCTAAAAAATTTTATCACCCCAAAAAGAAACCCCATACCATTAGCATATTCCCTGCACCCTTCCAATCCCTGGTAACCACTAATCTACTTTCTGTCTCTATGGATTTGCCTATTCTGGAAATTTTATATAAATGGACTCTTTTCACTTTCTTGACTCCATTTTTATCCTGAGAGGTGTTGGAGTTTGTCAAAGCTTTCTCTGTGTCTATTAAGATTTTTGTGTTTTTTCTTCTATTAATATTGTTAATATTTGGATGTTGACCCAACCTTGCATTCCTATAATAAATCCCACTTGGTCATGCTATATAATCTTTTTATATGGTGCTGGATTTGATTTGCTAGTATGTTGTTGAAGATTTTTGCATCTATATTCATATGGGATATTGGTCTGTAGTTTCATTTTCTTGAGATGTCTTTGTTTTGTTTGGTGTCAGGGTAATGCTGGACTCAATGAATGAGTTGGGAAATGTCCCTTCCTCTTCTTTTTTTTTAGCAGAGTTTGTGAAGGATTGGTGTCAGTACTTTTATTTTCGCTTTTTTTTTTAAATCCTCACCCGAGGACACTTTTTCCCATTTTTTGTTCAGATAAAGTGGGAGAGAGAGAGGAGAAAAGAGAGAGAGGGGAAAAGAGAGAGAGAGAAACATGAACGTGAAAGGGACACATCGAGTGGCCACCACCCACACGACCAATCAGGGCCGGGGACAAACTGCAACCGAGGTACATGCCCTAGCGGGAACTGAACCTGGGTCTCTCTGGACCGCAGGCCAATGCTCCAACTACTGAGCCAAACTGGTCAGGGCAGTGTCAGTACTTTTAAAAGAATCTTTGATAGGGTTCATCAGTGAATCCATCTGGCCCTGGCCTTTTCTTTGTGGAGCATTTTTTAAATTCTTTTTTTATCCTCACCCGAGGACATTTTTCCATTTTTTATTCAGGTATAGCGGGAGGGAGAGAGAGGAAGAGAGAGAGAAACATCGATGTGAACGGGACACATCGAGTGGCTGCCACCCGCACGACCCAACCAGGGCCGTGGACAAACTGCAACCAAAGTACATGCCCCTAGCAGGAACCGAACCCGGGTCTCTCTGGACCGCAGGCCGATGCTCTAACCGCTGAGCCAAACTGGCCAGGGCGCATTTTTTAAATTCTTAATTCAATCTCTTTGCTTGTTATAAATCAATTAAGATTTTCTGTTTCTTCTTAAATCAGTTATGATAGTTTGTATCTTTCTAAGAATTTTTCTATTTTATCTAGGTTATCTAATTTTTTTGGCATACAAATGTGTGCATATAGTATTCCCCTATATGCCTTTTCATTTTTGCAGTCAATGTCCCTTCTTTCATTCCAGATTTTAGTCACTTGACTCTTCTCAGTCTAATTTATTTGTAATTCCCAATATTTTATATTAATATGTTATTGTAAAAATTTGAACATTGCAGATAAAAACTAAAGCCTTGATTGCCACCCCCACCCTCAAACCCTCCACAGAGGTAACCCCATTATCAGTTTGGTGTAGCATAATTACTATGTGGCATAATTACATAGTTAAGCCAGTGTGTTAGTTTTCTATTGCTGCATAAACAAAGTATCATATATTTAGCAGCCCAAAATAACACAAATTAATTATCTCACATTTTCCATGAGTCAGGAGTCCTGGATGGGCCCCACCAGGCTGAAATCAAGGTATTGGTTGGGGCTACTATCTCATCTGAGCCTCTGTGTCTTTTCCCAAGTTCATTGATTTTTGGCAGAATTCAGTTCCTTGCAGTTGTAGGACTAAGGTCCCTGCTTTCTTGCTGGCTGTCAACCAGGAGTCTTTCTCAGCTCCTAGGACTACCTGGCATTCTCTGCCATATATATAGTTTGTTTCTTAAAGTCCAGCAGGACATCTTCTGTGGCTTCCAATCTCTCTCACTTCTGTCTCTGCCCTCTAGACCTGGATTTAAAGAGCTAGAGTGATTAGGTCAGGCCCACCCAGGGTAAATTTCTCTTTTGATGAACTCAAAGTGAACTGATTAGGGACCTTGATTACATTTTGCCATATAACATAACCTCATTGTAGGAGTGAGACCCAATCATATTCATAAGCCTTGCTCTTCTTCAAAGGGAGAAACTTATATAGGATATGTACCCCATGGGATGAAAGTCTTTGGATCCATCTTAGAATTTGAGCTCTGACAGCCAGCCATAAAACTAAGTAAGCAATAAAGGTAATCGATAGAGCCTTTTATAATCAATATGAATTGTTTGAATATGTGAGATGCTCATGCTTGGCAACTATAATAACATTGGTCCCACAGCAAAAAATATGTTCATGTAGAAGAGATGACACAGAAAAATCAAATGATGCTAAACAAACAAACAAACAAACAAACAAAAAACTTATTTGATTTTAAAAGAATTCAACTTGCCATATATCTTTTGCCTAGGGCTTCAGAGCCCAACCTTTGCCCAACATTTATCAATCTGACAATTGCTTTTCCTTCTGACTTCCTTAGGTAGGTCAAGAATTTGCTTCTCTTCCAATCCATTAGTGTGAAATTTAATGGCTCATTGACCTTAATTCTTTCTTTGCCTTTTGTGTAGGCCTGGGCACACTGAGGCAGCAATAATATTTTGTGAATTGGTTAACCAGGTTAGCTACCCTATACAACGGGACTCATATCTAGCCCAGGTCTTCAGAGGCGGAGCCTAGGGTGTAGAGCTGTTGGTCACCTTTAGGAGGCGCTCCCCCAGGTCATGGCTCCGCGTTTTCAGTGCTTCTGGACCGCTCTCTCTCTCGCATCCCATCTCTACGGTTTCTGTTGTGTTTTTATCAGGAATAGGCGGAGCTTCCGGTTCCGGTGGGGCCGTCCCTAGCGGCGGAAATGGCGGCTGCAGCGACGGAGGCTGCGGCCTCAGGCTCTGAAGACCCCCGGGAAGAGGCTGAAGCCCTCGGCCCTGCCTGGAATGAGTCCCAACTGCGCAGTTATAGCTTCCCGACCCGGCCCATCCCACGTCTGAGTCACAGCGACCCCCGGGCGGAGGAGCTCATCGAGAATGAGGTAGGAGGCGGGGCCGCGTCCCCAGTGGGAGAGGAGGAGGGAGCAGGTTAGGAGGAGAGGTCAAAGGCGCAGTTGATAGAAGTGGGGGACTGGCTGGGCCGGGAACTAGGGCCTGAGGAGAGCTGGAGAGGGATGCTAGAAGAAATGGGACTTGAGGGGTTCCTGTTGGTTAACAGGAGAAATTACTCTGAAGTTGGGAAGTAGCTGGAATCATGGTACCAGAATCCACCAACCCAGTTCCTCGGGACGACTTCATTTGATTTTTTTTTTCACCTGGTGGTTTCGCGTAGGAGCCTGTGGTGCTGACCGACACAAATCTTGTGTATCCTGCCCTCAAATGGGATCTTGAATACCTGCGAGAGAATATTGGCAACGGAGACTTCTCTGTGTACAATGCCAGTACCCACAAGTTCTTGTACTACGACGAGAAGAAGATGGCCAATTTCCAGAACTTTAAGCCAAGGTCCAACAGGGAGGAAATGAAATTCCATGAGTTTGTTGAGAAACTGCAGGATATACAGCAGCGAGGAGGGGAAGAGAGGTAAGTTCCCAGGTGATGGTTTTCTGTTGGCTGTAACGCATATATTTTAATTTCTTGTACTTGTTTGAAGATATGGAGGAGTTGGGTGAGTTCTCTAAATTGAGGGATGAGGGAACGATGATACTTGAACTGACTTTCTAGTTCTTTGTCATCTTCATAAAGTGAGTCACAGTTGCTTGCAAGGGTCAGGTAGGTGAACAACATGAGTGAAGTTATTTGGGCAAAAACTACTGTGAGGCTGAGTGCATACATCCTGTTCAAAGTGGGAAGTCATTACTTGTTTCCATTTGGGAGTTCATTTTCAGAATTGCCAGATAATTGTGATTTTTCAAGAGAAGCCAGAAGTCAGGATTTTTACTTAAAATCTTTTTTACTTTTAAAGGTGTGCAGCTAATTCAAATTTTTAAAAATACTGCAAGGGGCCAAACAGAAATGTCTGTTGTTGGATTTTTGCCTTAAGATAAACAGTTTGCAGCCTAAATTATTAGGCTGGCTGGGGATGGTTCAAGCTGAAGAGTTATATAAATTGTGATTCTGGGGTGAAGGATATTAGGGTCCTCTAGGTTAGGGAAGATCAGATTAGATTGGGGCGAGGGTCGTTTGTTGATGTTCCACGTTGTACTGGCAATAGCAAACGACACACAGGAGTGATTCTTTCTGTCTGCTTTTATTCCTATTTATGAGGACAGTTTCTTAGGTAGGTCCTATACAACACAGTGTCTGCTTTCACTAAGTACTTCATGGTGAATGACCATCTCCAGCTCACATCTGGTGCCCAGTCCTGGCCTTCCTGCCTCAGTTCTCTTCCTGACTCCCTGTTAGCCTTATGCAGCTAAGTGAATAGATTTAAAATATCTTTTTTTCCATCTTCCTGACACTTAGCAATTATCACAATGATAGGACTTTGACTAATGACTAAAAGAGTTTCCAGAGTCTGAACTATGATTGATCTGTTATTTTTGTCTTATAAAGATTGGTTTAGTTGAGTCATCTCATGGATTAATTTCCTCAAAATTGACAGCATGTAAATAAATGTGCACATGTACACGTGTGAACACACACATACACACATCAGTGTTCAGATTGAGAACTACTTAAACAGTGCTGGTGGAGTCTAATTCCATTTAATGAACACATACACTGGAATGAGCATGAGATAAGACACATGAATCCTCTGGATTCTCAGTCACTTTAACTTTTTTATCTGTTATCATGATAGCATTTTCCCCTTACTTTGTATGAGCTATGAATATAGTCTGTATTTATGGGTGATTCAAGGAAGAATTTTTTCCTGTGCAAATTTTTCCCTGCCGGCTGACTTTAGCACCAGCCAACTCCACGCATAATTGTACAGGTTGTGATTCTGGGGTAAAGGGTATTAGCATCCTCTGTGAGCTTTTTTGAGTATTTATTGTTTAGGTATAACAGAAATTGTTTAGATTCATGTTTCGTAAGTGGTCCTGTCTTTTTTTTTAAGTTATTTAACCAAATTTTTGTATATGTATGTATATTATAATCCCTGGGAAGAGTCCAGAGGTTACATTTGAGTGTTGAGGTTTCCCCAAAAAGTTAGCTGATGTTTCCAGCTTATTAAGATTTCTAGTTAAAGATGCCTTAAATATCCTGATTCTAGGCACTGAGATATCTTTGAGCCTTTTGAAGTTACATTCTCAGGAACAGGAAAGGGCTGCTTCTGTTATCTTGTCTTCCAGCTTGTCCCCTTATTAATGTCTCTAGTGAGGCTTGATTAAGTGTGTCTGGGTTTTCACATACTGTAAGTAACTTCTGATCTTCCTCAGGTGTGTTAGGAGCCTTGGGCCTGTGGAAAGCCCGATGAGGTATCTTCCTTCAGTTGTAGGTAGCTGAATCAGTTAAGATAAACTGGGCTTAGAGCCAGAGCCCTGCCACTTGATTTCTCACTCACACTACACGTTCATCACTGGTCACCTAGAGGAGGCTCTGCTCTTTTTTTTTTTTTTTTTTTTAAATATGAAACGCTTCACAAATTTGCATGTCATCCTCGTGCAGGGTCCATGCTAATCTTCTCTATTGTTGCAATTTTAGTGTATGTGCTGCCTTAGCAAGCACAGGAGGAAGCTCTGCTCTTACATCATCTTTTTCACTTTGGAACCCATATTGGCCCAGTAGCTACTATCTGAAACTGTTGCTGTGGCAGAGGAAAAAGATTTGGTGGTAGTGTGTACTGGTTATTAAAATTACAGTTTGGAAGCAACACAAGTCACTTCTGTGGATATTTCATAGGCCAAACCAAGTTAAATAAGCAAAGCTAGTTAAATGGCTTCAAGGGGGTACAAAAGAATAACTCTCCCACAGGGAAGGAATTAGCTCCTAGTGAAGAGTAATATGTTCTATTACAACAGCCATTGAGGGCCAGATGGGACGTGTTGGGCCCTAAGAGTCTCTGGAGGAAGGCTGATTCATCATTGTAGGGCCTCAATAGACTTTGAGGAATCTGTGAAAGAAATTGTATGAAAGTTCTGTGTGTATGTGCATTTTTATGGGTATCCTTCCTTGTGTTCTTAAAGGATTTATGCTGTGACCCAGAAAAAGTTAAGAATCACTTCTTTAAAATAAGTTTGGTGTTGAACAGAGTCCAAAGAAGGATAGGTAAGGATTCAGTTCTGTGAGAATCCATTTTGGTTAAGATTCACATGACAGTGGTTGTTCTCTGTGGCTTCAGATTTCCAGATTTGGGGAAGCCATGCCAAGGGACTGTGTGTATGTGCACTAATGGGATCTTCTTCTTGGGGAACATAGGTTGTATCTGCAGCAAACACTCAATGACACTGTGGGCAGGAAGATTGTCATGGACTTCTTGGGTTTTAACTGGAACTGGATTAATAAGCAACAGGGAAAGCGTGGCTGGGGGCAGCTGACCTCCAATCTGCTGCTCATCGGCATGGAAGGTAAGAAATCTTTCAGAAAGCAGCATAGCTTGGAGTCATAAAAACCTGGTTCCTAATCCTGTGTGCACTGTTTATTCGCCCCTTGACTTTGAACAGGTCAGTTAACTTTTCCAAGCCTCAGCCACCTCATCTGCAAAAAGACCATGATAGTATTTTATAAATAGCTATGAAGATGAAATAAGATAATTTATGTTGTCTTTAAGCTAGTTTTATACACTCTAAAAAAAATTTCCTTTTCCTTTCCTCAATTACTGTGTGAATGGTATACTCAGATATTAAGGATCTCTGAAATATTGCTGTTCTCTGTTGGATCTGTCTGTATTCAAAAGATTTTTATCCCAGTAGAAGAAGGATTGTATTTTTCCAATATAAACTGTACCTTAACTTCTGAACAGATAGTACATTCATGGGGTTAAATTCAGAAGGTATAAATAGGTATATAATAATAAATCTTTCTTCCAGTCCAATTCCCAGCATTCCAGTTTCCCTCCCTGGAGGCACCGCATGTTATTAGTTGTTTGTGTGTCCTGCTAGAGAATATTATGCACACATAAGCAAGTATGTGAATATGTTCTTTTGTGTGTGTGTTTTTTTTTCTTTTGAATAAAAGGGGAAACCTTTAAATTCCAGTCAGAAGAAGGAGAGCTACTTATCTCACTACTTGTTGCCAGCACTAGTTCATTGCCAGGCCCATACTTAGTAAATGGTGAATAAATTGGGTTGAACAAGGAAGCAGAGTAATTATTTATTGTCATTCACCACTGAGCTCTGAACTTTCTTCCCCCTTTGATTATCTTTTCTTCAGATTGTGATGCAGCTTATGGATTGACCCTTAACCTGTCCCTTTGAAACCAACTCTTGGTTGATCTACTGGGATCCAGTTCTGATTTATTTGACTGCATTTTTCTGTTGCCTTCTAATCCTGTGGTAGAGTGCAGGCAAGTGAATTTGTTAGGTAGAGTTGAGAGAGGAAATCCCCATTCGGGATGCTAGGGACTCTCAGCACTTAAGAAGGCAGGTGTCTTGGCCTACCCAGGCAGACCTGGAGAATGTATTCTACACTCTGTGCCCTGCAGAGGGCCCTTAAGTTTTCCAGGATTGTGCCAAGGATAAACAACAGACATGGTCCCAGTTAAAAAGTAGATAGAGCACATAGTAGGGCAGAACTAATTCAAGGTGGCATTTAAAATAATTTGCCTTATTCAAATTATACAGCACTCTTTAGGAGTCTGATATGCTTACCCCTACGAGAATCAACGGCCCCAGTGCTTCTCTAAGAAGAGTTGAAGTGGGAGGAAAGGTTTAGAATCCTTACACTCCAAAAGAGCTACCCAGTCCCGCACTCCCTCCCACCCAGGAGCATGCCCTTGCCTTTCCCTTCCTCCTCCTCTTCCCCCACAGGTGTGTATCTCCTAAACTATGAGTTTCCATAGACTTGCAACCAGGGTAGCAGTGGGCAGTGGCAGCTCATCCCAGGCTAATCCCCTGAATGTGTCTCCAAGGCCTCCTTTTCTCTGACTCTCCAGTGACCTGACAGCAGTCGCGCCTTGGCTCACTTCCCATAACCTTTCTGGAGAGCTGAGGTAGCCCCGCATACTCTCTCTCCTATTGCTTCTTCTATCTTAGGCTCTTCTTTGTTTTACTGTTCCCAGTCTTTGTTTTAATCCTCATCCGAGGATATTTTTCCATTTATCTTCAGACAGAGTAAGAGAGAGAGAAAAAGAAACATAGATGTAAGAGAGACACATCGACTGGCTGCCTCCCTCATGACCCTAACCAAGGCTGGGGATGAACCGCAACCAAGGTATGTGCCCTTGGCTGGAATCGAATCCGCAACTCTTTGGTCCGCGGACCAACACTAACTGCTGAGCCAAACCAGTCAGGGCTGTTCCCAGCTTTAATAAATGTACTCTCAAAATAAATAATAAAAAAAGAGCCACCCAAAGTAAGTATGTATTCATACAACTTAAAATGACTGATTAAACCCAGCTGGTGTGGCTCAGTGGCAGAGCACTGACCCATGCACCGAAAGGTCACGGGTTTGATTTCCGGTCAAGGCACATGCTCCGGTTGTGGGCCCAATACCCAGTGAGGGGCATGCAGGAAGTGGCCAGTCGATGTTCTCTCTCATCAATGTTTCTATCTCTCCTTCTCCCTTCCTCTCTCTCTAAAATCAATAATGACTGGTTATTACTGGTTAGTAATTTTAAAAAATGACTGGTTAATTCCATCAAAGAAGATCATGCATGCATTGTTGATACCAGTCATTTCAGTTGTTTCCAACTCTTGTTTTGCTGCCCTTGAATTATTGCCATAGTCAAGAAGAGTATAAGTATATGTAATGTATTACTTTGCTAGACTTGTATCATTTCAATGTGCTATTGCTTCCAATAAGGCAGTAGCCATTATTAAGAAAGTCTACTTTGTTAATTGATGCTGAATGCTTATTGCTAGACTTATTATTGAATAAAAGTGTAACACTGCCCTAGATGGTGTTACTCAGTTTGTTGGGCATCATCCCATGCCCTGAAAGGTTGCTGGTTTGATTCCTAGTCAGCACGCATGCCTGGGTTGCAGGCTCGATCCCTGGTAGGAGGCATGCAGGAGGCAGCTGATTGATGTTCTGCTCTCACATCATTGTTTCTTTCTCCCTCTCCCTTTCTCTCTAAAAATCAATAAAGTTTTTTAAAATAAGATATGCACTCAAATGTATATATTTAAAGAAGTGTAACACCTAATTTGCTGAGAATTTAATGCCATTTTCCTGATTCTGCCTAATTTTTTTTATTAGGAACCCTTAGCTGAGTGGGCAGACTGGTTTCTCTCCAGCACTGGGTCCTATGTCCCAGTCTGTGCAATAGAGGCACTGCTGTGAATAAGAAAATGTCTTTCTTCTTACAGGAAACGTGACACCTGCTCACTATGATGAACAACAGAACTTCTTTGCTCAGATAAAGGGCTACAAGCGATGCATATTATTCCCTCCGGATCAGTTTGAGTGCCTCTACCCATATCCTGTTCATCATCCATGTGACAGACAGAGCCAGGTGAGCTCGTGGTCTGAGGAAGGTATAGAAGTCCTTGGGGATCCAAGGTTGGCATGTCTTTCCCCTTCCTTGTGGTAGTATATCAGGTTTGGACAAACTCAAGATAATTTCACAGTGTAGCTCGTTCAGGGTGGGGCAAAAGTAGATTTATAGTTTTTCATATGGAAAATAATGCAGTAATTAATAAGAATAAACTCTGTTTCATGTACTTACAACTGTAAACCTACTTCTGTCCCGCCCTGTATATTCTAGGCCCCCTGTAGTGGTCCCCAGATGTTTATAAGTGTAAACAGCCCCATAGAGGTAATTCTGGAGGGCAGACCCTGTCATTGATGCTGATGGAGTCAGGTTGCGCTGTTTGACTGGAACAAAATGTGTGACATTTGGATTTAATAATTACTTTCTTTTGTCATGGATGCTACTACTTTTTGATAAAAAGGGCGAATAGAATTGAGATGTGAAACTTAATATCTTTTCTGGATCCAAGTGAGGTATATGATTGACTTTGTGGCTAACCAGAGAGGTTCTTTTCTTAAGGTGAAAGCTGCTTAACTACTTCATGTAGGAGTCTTGACTGGTAAAAATGTGTGTTTGGGAGAAAGTTTCTGAAGGTCTGGGTGAAGGATGAGTCCTAATTCTTCATATCTGCAGGCCATGCGTAGGTTTTCTGACCTGAAAACTGTGATGATTGGCTTCTGACTTCAGGAGCACTGAAGCCTAGGATTCTTTATCACTCAGCACTGAGCCTGGCCTGTCTTACATCATCCTCTGAGAGAGTGTGTGTATGTTTAATGTGTGTTGTGTCTTCTGCTGGATATAAATTTTAAAGTAATTTTTTTTTTTAAGGCAACTTTTTGTACTACCAGAGTAACTTTCACATAGTAGTTAATGATAAAAATTTCGTAATTGACTGATTCTTTTTTCTTTTTTTCTCTTGGACCTTTCAGGTGGACTTTGACAATCCTGATTACGAGAGGTTCCCCAATTTCCAGAACGTGGTTGGTTACGAAACAGTGGTTGGTCCTGGTGATGTTCTTTACATCCCAATGTACTGGTGAGGAGGGGGTTAGGACTGGGGACTTCTTGGGAGATTCTTTCCCATTTCTTGGAAAGCCTTATCTGTGTCTCTTATGAGTTGTGGCAAGATTGATCTTATGTGATCTACAGGAAGGTTGGCATATCCAGGTATGAGCAAAATGGCCATGGGGGAAATGACAACCCTGTTTCTAGCCCAGGGTGTGTTTAAGAGGATGAGCATCAAGAAACTATCTTCATTATTTCCCTTAGCTGGACTCCACCTAGGTTTCCATACCCCCCATCCCCACTGTAATCCCCCCCCCCCATCTGAAAAGTATTGGTGGCAAACAGAAGCTTATTTATTTTCTTGCAGGTGGCATCACATAGAGTCATTATTAAATGGGGGGATTACCATCACTGTGAACTTCTGGTATAAGGTGAATATCGGCTTTTTTTCCTAGGTGGGACTGGGGTGAGGTAGGTTTAATACATTGTTGGGGGCAGAGTGGGGAGGTTGGCTATCTCTGGAGTGATTCCCAGGTCTTTGGGGATATGAAGAGGGATGGGCTTGAGCTGTGTTTTCTTAGAAGGGAGGATGGTGCCTAGGAATAGCGGGTGACACTGAAGCCTTCCTGAGCTGCTGATTCCTTTGCAGGGCGCCCCCACCCCTAAGAGAATTGAATATCCTCTCAAAGCCCATCAGAAAGTGGCCATAATGAGAAACATTGAGAAGATGCTTGGAGAAGCCTTGGGGAACCCACAAGAGGTATGTGGCTGCCCCAAGGTGGCACTCTTATGGTTCAGTGGGCAGTGACCAGGGAAAGTTAGGATCGGTGTCACATTCTCCATAGCTCCTCTGTTTTAGTATCTGGTGTCCTCTCCATAGAGGTTATGAGTATATTCAGAAACGCCTTATTTTCTGGTGAGAGCTGGGCTTGACTGGCGGATCAATTATAAATCTGTTCCATGCTAGTGGTAATGTTCCCCATGGGGCTTGTGTGCCAGCTGGGGACCCCAGAGGGAATTCTTCTGGAACAGGAAGTGAACAGTAAAGCATCTCACACTCTCCCAGCTGTGCCAAGGCTCTTCTAGGTAATGTTGAGACCTGCTTCTCACACAGGTATGCCAGTGGCCCATCAGGCAAATGGGGGAGTTTTGTATTTGTAACACTCTTGCCTCCGCCCCGTGGCTATCCTCAGCAATCCAGAGGACCTGTGGGGTTGGGAGATGGTGCTAGTGTCAATTACAGGGTTCAGAATATAAAGACATGTAACATATTTAGGCACATTTAAGAAACATGCAGGCAAACACTCTTAGGTGTTTGGGAATTATCAACTCCTCTGACCTTATGTCTGTCAGTTTGGTGCTGCTTACAGATAAGGGTATTGTGAGAGGGAAGATAATGAACCCAGAGGGGAGAGCTATGCCCCAGGATACTGAATTGACCTACAGGAAGAGAATTGGTTAGAGGGTTTGTGAGATTGAATGAAAGGCCTGTCCCTGCCCTGGCTGGACATTGGATGTCTCTAGACACACCCCTGTCCAGCTCCACATTCAGGGAACAGGCAGTTCTGACTGGCTCCTCATGTCTTTTCACAGGTGGGGCCCTTGTTGAACACAATGATCAAGGGCCGATACAACTAGCCTGCCAGGAGTCAAAGCCTCCTGCCAGGTGACTGCTAACTCGTCTACACCGCTCCATTGATGAGGACAGGAGACTCCAAGCACTAGTATTGCACGCAGCACTTAATGGACTGGACTCTTGCCATAGCCCTGGAGGCAGGTGTTTGGGGCAAGGCAGTGCGTTGGCATGCCACTCCTATTTGGAGGGACTTTGTACCCTTGTCTCTGTGCCCCAGCACCTTTCCTCCTTGCCCCCCCCTAAAGTTCTGCATTCAGTGTGTGGAGTTCCAGCTTCTGGTTGTCATCATGTCTGTGTGTGTCAGTCTGTCAACCTCGGGATGTGTGTATGCGTGTATGTGCATGCACACACACACATGTGTCTCTGTTCCTTGCACCGTTCTGGGTCCAGATCCCACTCTGGCTCTCAGACCTATCTCCTGCAACCTCTGTGCCTCAGCCTGAGATAGAGGAGATGCTCTTGGATGCCTGCTACATCTGGGCTGCAGGGCAGAGCTATCCTGATGTTTAGGTCAGTCGGCTTTCTTCAGGTTTGACAGAATTAGCCTCTAAGCTGGGTGGGAATGGCTACTGGGACTAATGGGGAGAGTGAGAAGAAGGTTTGCTTTGAGAGCCTAAAGAGTTTCCTATGAGAGAGAATTAAGTTCCAACTTGGATTTTCATGCTCAAGCCATACATAGAGTCTTTGGACCCAAGAACTTGTGCGTAAGTTTCAAATTGCAGACACATACAGCTTCTCTCAGCACCAGTTCTTGCTCCACATACTGGGTGCCAAGGGAGTCCTCCTAGCAATGGCTTCTCTAGGTTCTATGGGTGCACGCCTCTGTGCAGCGTGTGTGTGTGTGTACACACACTGGCCTGCCTCTCTACCAAGTTTCTCTACTGCTTAACCTTGTGCAGTGGGGCATACAGTGGGAATCCCAGGGCAGTACTGCCTGACCTAACCTAAAGATTTAAAACTCAGCTATAGTCATTGGATGTTGGTCAGGTATCACTGCAACCTGCTTGAGGCTGACTGGCTAGAGCCTCTTCTGCCCAGGCTACATCCTCTGTGTCTATGGAGCTTCCTAGATGAAGGCACAAAATCGGGTCAGGTTTGGCAGCTAACTCACCACCTGTCATCCACCTCATGGCAAGGACAAAAATGTAGCCTTGTCTCTTAAAGCCAGCGCCTCTGCCAGATCCCACTGTAATGTTCCACAAACACCCTCAAAAGTCAGGTAAACTGGTGGAGCACGGAAGTGTAATTTTCTGTTCATATCTACTCACGGGAACCCCTCTCAGGGCTGCAGCTTACAACTGGGCAGCTGTGTACTGTGCAACTCAAAGGGCCATCATTCACATCTGTTCAGTGGAAGTGGGGCCGCTGGAGTCGGGTGGTGTGGTGGTCCTGTGTCGTGTCACCTCCACTTCCATCTCTCTGTCCCTTCTCTCTGGAAGGAAAGGGGAGTGGAGTCTCTGGATTTATATATATATTTTTCTTTTATTTCCTTTTTCTTTTTGCCAAAGGTTTACTTCTGGTGTCTGAGCTGTGGTTCTTACCCCCAAAGCTCAGTTTACAGTTACAGTGCACTGATAGATTGAGAGGATGTGCGTGTGCATGTGCACCTGTGTGTATTTTAGGGAGAGGTGTTTAGTACCTCATTCCGGGATTCTCTGATGCAGTGTGTGTGCAAACACGGTACCTTCTCAAGTGTAGTTCTTTCAAATATAGCCAATGCTGGGAAATCTGATTGCAGTGATCTCCCTCCCTCTATCTCTTTGGGAAAGAGGAATGCACAAAGAAAACGGGCAGAAAGAGGGTAAACTTGACCACAACCACATTTTGAAAGATAGTTTTTGTTCTCCTTAGCAGGTCTGCTGCATTCCTGGCTCAGCCTGCAAAGATGTGGGTGATGTGCAGCAGGGAGGTATGTGCCACTCAGCCGGTCCCTGGTGGGTGCTGTGCTGACATAGGTCTGACCTAAGGGGACTGAGGGGCAGGTACTGCACAGGATTGGTTGTGATCCTTGGATAACATAATAGTGACCCTGACTGTTAGACACCTAATGTGTGCCTAGTGCTTTTACCTTTGTTCCTCACTATCCAGCAAGGTAGGCGTTCTCATTTTACAGTGGAAGAAACAGGGCTCAGAGAGGTTAAGTGATTAGCAGCAATCAGGATTCCAACCTAGTATTGTTTGGCTACAAACCCCCCGTTGCTCCTTTTTCACCAAACTTGGTTCGTTTACCTCCTCCCTTGTACTACAGGCCAACCTCAGGTCTCAGTCCACTGGGCACTGTCTGGTGTAGGCAGGCTTAGCCCAAGAGTGTGAGAAGTAAAGACATCTGGGGAAAACTGCCAGGGAGCCATATAATGAGTTAAGAGTGCTGGAAGGAGCTATGGGGAGACTGAGTTCTAGATCCCATTGTGTTACTAGTGTGTCATTGAATAGGTTTCATAACTTCTCCCAGCGTGCTTCTGCATTGGTAGAATTGAAGACCTAGTTCTAGGTGATCACTAAGAACATTGATTCATGTTCTGCTGTTTCCTTTTCCCCCAAGTAAGAGGTTGAAGCTCTTTACTTACCTAGGTTAGGGCCATTTGGGCTCAAATTCTACTTGGGGCAGAGGAAACATTTTTGCTCTGTTGCTTACCCCTGTTGTGGAGGCAGATAGCATGGGAAAGTCGGGTTTGTGCCTGTATGGAGGTCAGTCATGTTACAACCTTGCATTTTACATCAGCAGGTACAGAGGAAACTATACTTTGTGAAGTCATACTAGGGGGAGGGGACATTGGAGTTTGGGGATGGAGGAGGGGCTGTTCTGGGCATCAGTTGAGCAGATGCCCAGGATGCCTGGGGGAGACCAGCTTCCCTTACAAATCTGAGCTCTAAATTACAAGGTTTTTACCAACATGAACAGTTGGGGGAAGTCGTCTGCTCTCATTTGCGTAATGGTTTCTGTCACTGGTGATTAGACACAGGATGAAGGAAAAGAAATTTGACAATTAGGAATGAGCCATCATTAATCTGAATCTGTTAGGAGACAGAGAGGGGAAGGATCCTTATCAATGGACCAGCCAGTGTGGGGAGACCCTTCTGCGCCACCCCCCCCCTCCCAACATGTACCCTTTTATTGTTCCTACAATCAGGCTGAGCTGGTATTTCTTAAGAAAGACTGGGTGGGCCCAGTCTCCAGCCTGAGGTGGATACAGGAACACATCTGCAGGCGTGGGCCAACAGAGAGAGATGGTGTCAATTGCAAACGATAGGGTAAAGCGTAACAGTGAAGTCATTTTGAGTGCTGTTTGCAAAAGTTTTTGTAATCAATTTCCCAGACACCCAATCAGTGGCAAGTATTTGTTCCTTTCCTACATTGCAGTGTGTGGAGAAAACCTGGTCTTTATCTTCCAGGTCTTTATCTTAGTTGGAGAAGAAACCACGTGCAACCACCAGAGGTTATGAAACTGTGTATCGTGCACCCTGTGAGGACAAGGTTAGAGACTGTTGAGGAAGAGGATCAGTAGAAAGAGCCCCAGGACTCCCAGCAACATTGATTTGTCCCCACAGTGCAGCTGTAGTTCTATGGAGGGCACGGAGGCCCTTGCCCAGATGTGTGAGCAGGTGATGAGATTAACCAAAAGGCTTAGTCTTGGGTGTGGGGAGCCCCAACTTGGATCTTCTGAGGTCTCCACACTTCCTCCTCTCATCCTGCTGTCTCTTCAGACTCTAAGACTACTAATTTGCACCAGTTGGTATTCATTCCTGTTTTGTGACTTGGTATGTGGTGGGTTCCTTCGAGGCGCCCTCAAGGATTGGGGGCAGGTGTTGGAATGTGTTTGTTTCTCTCAAAATGTTAACTTCCCAAGGATGGTGCTCCCTTGGTAAATTTACTCTCTCTGGGTTTTCTACCCATCACAGTCCAGTGTAGAGTTTGTAGGGCTGCAGGAAATGGGCCTCAGTGACCAGTTTTACCCTAACGGGGTGGATGCTGGGATGTACCTGGAAGTGACTCGGGGTTCCAGAGCCCCTGGCCTGATTTCAGCCCATGTTTTTTTCTTTGGTACCTCAAGTGCTTGTCCTCCAGTCCCTGCTGTCTTGCTGAATAGATGTTCCAGCTTCCCTTTCCAGAGCTCCCCCATTTTCTCCTCCTAAGCCTTCCCTGCCCAGTCTCTTCAGCAACCCCTTCACCAAGGTCCTTTTTCCTAAACAGTTGCCCTTTTCTCAGACGCTCCAGATTGCAAGTGTTTGGATAGACTTTCTCATTGCTATTAATCTTAGAGTCATCTTCCTTTTCTGACCTGTGAAAGTCTGTTCATTTACCCAAAGTTAATTTGTTTGTTTTTATTCTGTTTTTTTTTTGGTTGTTATTTTGTTAATCCTCACCCAAGGATATTTTTTCCATTAATTTTGGGGGTGGGGTTGGAGAGAAACAACAATGAGCGAGAGATCAATTGGTTGCCTCCCACATGCATGCTGACCAGGGCCAGGCTTCGAACCAGCGACCCTTTGGTCCACGGGCCAATGCTCTAACCACTGAGAACACCAGCCAGGGCAAGGTTAGTCCATTTGTTCTTTGTGTTTTTTGTCCTCTTGCCATTTTATCCTTTCTGTGCATCTCGGTTTAGCTTTTCTAACTCCGGTGGCTGTTTCTTCAGCTCTGTGTAATCCTCACAGGTCTTGAGATCCTCAGCAGAGCCCTGCTGAAAACTTTGGGTGCATTTCTGGGGGATGAAGCCTCTAACTCTGGCAGCCTTGAGGTTCAGGGGCCTGTGGTCAGTGAGGCCTCCAGAGATGGGTGAGGGGAGGGTACCTGGAGAGTTGTGAACAGTGGAAAACAAGTGAGGGGGGATTGGACAGGAGAATCCCCAGGAGTGTGGCCTGGTAAGTCAGGGTGGAAGAACCAAAGTATTTCCATCTAAATGCATCTGTGTGCCTTAGGTCAAGCATTTCAAGGATTGGGGGCATTTTGTGAATGTCTCCTAATTTCTCAGGTGTTTTTGACGATGCTCTGAGTCACCAAGTTTAGCTTACCTCTGCATTTCAGTATTTGCTGGTAGGAAACAGCATATATTGAGTAGTCTCATTTTAGGAGTAGAGATCTTGGATGAGAAAGGCCCTGGAAGATGGAGCAGCAGGAGATGGACCCATTGGTCAGCTTATACCCAGACTGTCTCTTCACTCCTCCAGGTGTTTTAAGTATAATAGCTAATAATAGGCCTCACCTCTTCCCCACCTAAAATTTGGTCTTTGGGTAGTATTTTGGGAAGCAGGGTGTGTCCTCAT